TCCATACAAGTTGTCAGTCATTTATTAGTGATTTATACAGAGGTTCATTTGCATATAAATGTTGATAACATTGTTTTACTGTCTTTATTAACTTGTAATACTAAATTTTATAAATTGACAAATTCATTCTTTTTAGAAAGTGCATATAATTTGGAAAAGAGACCATCAATCCACTAGGGGGTATCGCATGAAAGCAATGATTATAGAATATTGTAAGGCTGGAGGAGTTATAGTACAACAGGCAGGCAAGTAATGGTACTTTGTTCTGGAAATTTTTCGCCCCAGTTTTATTTTTCTCATTCTGCCCTCCTTACAAGTAGGTGAATTTAAAACAGGACAAATTCGAAGAAGGCAGCATATATCTTTTAAACACAAATGTGTCTGATCAAATTTGAAAAGGGCAAAATTGTTTTCAAGGGTGAAAGAGTGAATATTTTAAAAATTAGAATGGGGTGAAAATATCCAATAATACAGGTTATATGTATTAACACAGTACATATGCATTTCTCTTTTCTTTATAATGAAAATAATTTGTTCTGTAAAAGGACAAATTTTGTTCTGATTTGTATCAAATAAATAATGTGCCAGATTTATTATTTTGCAGGCACCTAAGTTACCATCAGTTGTGTGTCAAGCTGTGCAAAAATTCTATGTCATGTTACAGAATCTTTCTTAAATACAGGTATATGTCTGCTCATCTGGCAATCTTAGGACATCACTGGATGGTTTTGTTTAAAAAGATTACAGAGTTAACACACACTTCCAGCATGAAGACCAGCCAGTTGCCTCACCTGTCCTGACATTGTTAAAGGTAAATGGTCCTTTCAGAAAAGGATCTGACAATGCAAAGGCTTGCTAATCAATTAAAGATTTCTATTTACTAATAGGTAATTAATTTGAATTTCTGTAGCTTAAAAATTTAATGATATGAATTAAAGAAAATATTTTAATCAAAATTATTTTTATTTCAGTACTTTGTGACAGTGAAAAGACATGGCTTTAAATTACTGTATCAGAGATCAATCCAGGTTATAAATCTGAGGAAAACAATAAAGCATCCACTTCGAGCTACTTATATCACTGCCTTAATAAGATGTCTGCATGTGTAACTAACAAAGGACAGTGACCAGTTGTAGCTATGATATCAGAGGGCATCCTGAAAAACACTCATCACTAAGAATAGAAAACTTCAAATGACTTTTGTATCAATCCTTTTGAATTTCATCTGGCTTGGAATTTCAGTAGCCTTTAGCATCCTTCAAGCATTTCATGAAGTACATGTACCAATTTGCAGGCATAAAATGTTTGAAATAAAAAAAAAATAATTTCTCTGCCAATTAACAGTGTCATAAGCAGTTGATTGATATCACAGTTCCACTGGCATAGTATTTGTGGTTGAATGGTGCCATTTTTAAGAAAACTTTTCACAAAAACCTGGAAAACATCAGATGGAAAGGAGCATCTACAAGAAAAACAGTTAACACTTTCTTGAATATTAACAATGATATATCATGCCCATTTACATCCTTTATATAAACTAATTAACCTAATCATAGAGAATTATGTACAAATTTGTCCTTTTGTGTATTTATAGTGTATTAAATTGATTTTACTAATTTATAAATATTTATGTTTTTCACAGTCATTAACATTTACAAATAGAAGTACACATAACATAAAAATATTACATGTTTAGTAGGATAACGTGAAATTGTTATACCACAAAAACCATCGCTGACCTCGCCTCGGTCAGCAATGGTTTTTAAGGGGTAAGAATTTTACATCACCCAAAATAAACAGGTAATATTTTTCTTGTCATAAAATGCATTTTAAAGAAAACATCAAGGTGAAACGAATGTGCAAACATTCTGCACAGTTAACATTTTTTATTACTGTATATACTGTTACCCGTAGTCATGCATTTTCAACCATTGGGATGTAATGTTTGGCATACAGTATGGTAATAGTACTTGTTAACAAATTTTTTTAAACCAATCAAATTTGACTATTTAACATGAAAGTGTATCATAACAAATTTATCTAGCATAATGGTGCTGTAACCATGGAATGTGAGCTTGTGTGAACTTGATCCTGAATTATTAAGTTTTGATATTGTAAAAAAGAACTGTGCAGCCTAAACTTTAACTTGTACCTGATTTAGATGGAGTTCCGTCATTAACAACTTGGAAGTTGGAAGTTGTCACACTCATCATGAGTATAATAACTGGGGGATCTGCTTCATTTGCAGATACATGGATAACACATTCACTCAAAGCACTGTCCCTTTTTCAGTACCTTGTGCAGCCCTGTAATATATAATGACAAATGGAGAAAAATGCCTATTTCAAGAAAAAAAGTCTGTCTCATAATTGTAGGAGTATTGGCAAGGGGGGGGGGGGGGGTCATGAAACTTGGCGGTTAATCCAGTTTGTATGTGTAAATGAAAAATGCCTTCTTCTTTGTAGAATAAAAAATGATTATTTTTTGAGTGTTTGTGACCATTTTTATTTCCGAATAGACAGGGTAGCTTAATAGCCTACAGAATGAGCTGACCATTTTTATTGTTGTAATTAAAAAAAGAAAAGAATGTGTTTTCTACAAAGATCATATGTTATAGACGTGGTATTCAACTTTGTATTCCCATGGTCGATGCATTTGGGTACATCTATTTTTTTATTTGCTTTCAATGACATCGCATTCAATATCCCAAACTCATGTATACCTGTCCAATACTCCAAATTATACCACTGTAAGCTAAGTCAATGCTTTAAATTTATGAAACCAATCTGTAGATAAGCGTACCTTTTGAATACAGACGATTTTAGAAAAAAAACGATTTAATTTTCCCTTTTTGCTTAAGTATGTTGGCTAATCTTGGCCCCCTCGGAATAGCTTGTGTTTACGTTATGTAATGAAAAAATAAAGCAATTAAACGCTATTTACCTGCATCTATCAATCCACTTTCTCCTCTTCTTTGCAACAATCGGGGATCAAAACAAACTGCAAGTTTAATAATTCCACTGCGATGCTTACAACTTAAGTAATCCATTGTCTCCAAGAACGCTCAGGTACCCGGGAGTTATAAAACGAAAGTGAAAGTCAACGAGACTTACAGACCCTTTGAATTTTCCTATAGTATACATGATAGATAAGTGTAATAAATATAATTTGTGAGCAAAACAAACAACAAATTCTACTGGGGTGCTTAAAACTAAATGCGAAGCTGTAATCTATTGTCTGCAAGAATGGTAAGTTATAAAACGAAAGTGAAAGTAAATGAGAATTAAAGCTATAGTCTTGGGAGCAGTTGTTATTTCATAAATAATTTGAATAGGTGATATCACCTATTCGAATAAGTGATATCACCTATTCAAAATGATTAAGTGATATCACCTATTCGAATAGGTGATATCACCTATTCGAATAGGTGATATCACCTATTTGATTTGAATAGGTGATATCACCTATTCGAATAAGTGATATCACCTATTCAAAAGGAATAAGTGATATCACCTATTCGAATAAGTGATATCACCTATTCGAATAAGTGATATCACCTATTCGAATAAGTGATATCACCTATTCGAATAGGTGATATCACCAATTCAAATCGAATAGGTGATATCACCTATTCGAATAGGTGATATCACTTATTCGAATAGGTGATATCACCTATTCGAATAGGTGATATCACCTATTCAGAAGCTGAATAGGTGATATCACCTATTCGAATAGGTGATATCACCTATTCGAATAGGTGATATCACTTTTTGGCAGTAAATACCAAAACGGCGCCTCATAGTTTATCAACAATTTAATTTGAGAGATCGCCTGAAGAATTGATAAAATTCATACATTAGTCATCATAGGCGGATCTTGGAGGGATGGATCCGAGGCTCACTGGAATTTTGAGATTTGTAATAAGAGTCATATATATATATATATATATATATATATATATATATATATATATATATATATATATATATATCCATTTCTATTTGTTTTCTCTGTGATAACTCTTCGAAAGTTAAGAGAGTTGATTTCTTGATCATTCTAAAGGAATGCAAATTTTGCCAAGCGAAAGGTCAGTAGCTAAGAAGGCATAATATGCATGTAATTCTCGTGCGGCTGTCTAGCTTTGTGTCTGACTCTAAGGAGGCCTAATATGCATGTAATTCTCGTGCGGCTGTCTTTGTTTTGACGTCAGTGGGCGGGGACTATTGAAATTGACATGTGAGGCCTCGTGTAATTTAAAATCTATTAGTCTACATTTTTAAAATCTAAATTTACAATTTTATTTCAAAATGAAATGGAAATATAAGGAATCACTGTCTAGTTAGTAGAGTATGCCAGGGACATCAACGATAGTTGGAAACGTGGGATAATTTGCATAACGGGCGTGATTCTATATATATATAAATATATATTTCGGACTAATATATGTAAAGGATAAAAACTAGCTCCCCTCCCCCATGGTTTACTTTTTTGTTTTCATTTTTTTTTTTTTTTTTTTTTTTTTTGCTTGTCCTAAAATATCTGAGTCAGATTTTATCTAGTTTTTGAGACCCCCCCTACCCAACCCCCTGGAAAAATTTCCTGGATCAGCGAATGATCCTATATTCAATTCTGAAAGTACGAGGAAATTTTGCTAAATGAGACCTTGGTGGCCTCTCTTTTTTTCAAATGACCTTATGATTCTTTTTTTTTTTCTTAAAAAAAAACATCATAGCAATCAATTATGAGCAGGAATGTGTAATAAAGATCTTACTGATTTACAATACAGACAAAACAAAACTGGAACAAAAATTTCTAAATGCATGTTTTGTAAGTCGAGATACTTAATTCTATTCTATCTAGCATCTACTACCCTGGACCTAAATAACAGTGACCCTCCCTATCGAGTGAAAAACATAACAGTTAGATACGTACAGTCACCATTTCAATTTATATCTTACTTAATAAAATATTTATTATGAACAATTATTTTTTTAATGTAGGGAAAAGTCAAGCTTTTCTATGATGCCAAGAACACAAAAATAGCCAGTTTCTCAGAGAGAGTTGTAAACGGAAAACTCTTCAAAGGAGTCATGGTTCAGAACTTTGAAGAAGTAAGTTTCCTAATACTTTATTGAACATATTTTAGATGTGTTACACGTAACCTGAGGATGGTCATGTTAATATATAGTTTACTTATACCAGGGAGTTCAATATACTGTCGTGAACGGTGTCTGCAATACCACCAGACTGGCGAGAAAAGGATTTACACCTGCCTGTGTACCTAGTAAGTCTGTTTCTGTTTTAGAAGGCATGGGATAAAGCAGCTCATTTTATTGACCTATTTGAATGCAAAGGTATATATATTTTTTTATTTGTAAACATGTTTATTTATTTATAGCACAAGCGGAGTCACAGATGGGGAAGGGGGCAGGGGTTGCTTGTGTCCCCACTTTTGAAAGTGGGTGGGAGGGGGTTATCTTTGTGCCCTCTCCCAACTTTTTGGGTCGGAATAGTTAATACATACACATCCTGTAGATGTAGGATATTTGTATGAAATGACGTTCAAGTGAGCTTTTCTGATCAAAGGATTAATATATTCGATCGTCGTCAGTAAACTTTCCATATTTTTCAACTTCTTTTACCAGAACAACAGGACCAATTTCATCCAAACCTGCTACATAGCACCATTGAATAAGGGGGAGAATTCATCTTTTTCTCTCAATATAGAGCCATGAACTCTTTATACTGGGGTCATTTAAAATCCTCTTGTTTGGAACCAACAGACCAGAAAACACAATACTTATTCGAAATAATGTAGATTTAAATTTGTTCAAATTATGGCCCCGGGCCTAGGATGGGTCCAAAATTCAAAACTTATGAATCCACCTTCCCCCGAAGTCATGATTTTAGCAAATTAGAATCCGCACTTCCCGACAATTTTGCATATTAATATAAATAAACAAGGCTCTGTTGTTCTTCAGAAGATTTTCTAACGATATTCCTTAAATATTTCTACGTTAAACTTAATAGTTGATGGAAATATAAAAAAAAAAAAAGAAGAATTAGGGAAAAATTCAGTTTTTTTTTTAAAGATCAGCAGGGTTATGAATAGTCACATCTAGGTCCAAGAATCCTCCGGAAGTGCAGATCAAGGTATAGTTTGAATCAAGTCCCAGGAAGTAGAGTAGGACCACAAAAGGGATCAAAGTTTGCAAAGGGATTTATTTTTTAAAAAGCTAAAAATTCTTTCAAGAACAGCTAGGTTATGATAAATCGCATTCTCACGTAGTAAAGATCTAAGGTCACTTCAAATCATGGCCCCAGAGAGTAGAGTAGGGTCACAATTTGGGATCAAAATTTTTCATAGAATATAGAGAATTTTTTTTTTAAATCTTCTGAAGACAAGCTGGGCCAAGGGGTCTCAGGTGAGAGTTGTGGCCCAATGGCCTCTTATTTACCTTTCACAGAGGGAAGCAAAAAAGTGAGTAACACACATTTGGGGACATCTACTGACTCTCTGGACGTTAGTTCATACGAGATCCCGATAAAGCAGTACAACACAAATGCTTATTTCTTGATCACTAACAAGTTGTGTATCCCTGTCGGAGATACCATCACAGCAGGCACAGAGAAAGGTATGAAGGAAATACAGTAAAATACGCTTATAGCAAATACGCTTATAATGAATTGACGCTTATAGCGAAGTGATATTCATTCCCCGTGACTTTAAAATATATTGTACAAGTAAACTTAACGGATATATCAAATTACGCTTATATCGATGCAAAATCGTTCGTCCCTGGCACTTCGTTATAAGCGTGTTTTACTGTATTCAATGGAAAAGTAATAATAATGTCAAATTATTTCTGAACAACACGATTCTTGGATGGCCAAAATTAAAGTTGAAATTGATGTAGGTCCTAGAATAATCAAAAGAGATTACGTATTATCTTTTTATTATATTTTTAAAATTATTAAAGTTACTGTACAGCATGAATTACCTCCTTTTTTAGCTGGTTTCATGGCCAGTGTTGGATACACAGGATTTGAGCCTGGGATAAAGGACCCCAGAGTTTTCGACAAACCAAGAGAATGCAGCAGTACAATAGAGGAGGTAAGAATCAAAATGGTTGATATTTTTACTTTCGAAGCTTTTATATTTTGATTGAGTCCCAGAATGTTTACTTTTGCATTCTTGGATAATTATAAAGTACGTTATGTACTAGTACATTGTCTTAATCCGCATGAAGCTGTCAATCATGTCACGTTTTTTTTGTTTCTTTTACTCCTTACGAATTATTCTCAGGTATCTCAGCCAATTAAGAGGACACAGTCGTAGCACTGTGTAAAAAAAAGCATGAGTGTCATTCTCATTATCCATCAACCAAAAAAGGAATAAATCATATATAGATTCTAATATTCACCTAAAGGTTTTCACATGTGTTCATTATTTTAATGGAAGCATTTTAAAAGACTCGCTTGTTTAAGAGTTATCACTTTGTGCAGACTAAATTGCCTTAATTAAGGAATTGACTCTGGTATCAAACCAATGAGTCCAAAACACAACAAAATTTTACCATGATTTTTTTCAAAGCCTGTTTTGGAAACAATTACTATATTTGATTGGTTTTATTATTATAATCAATTTTTTTTTAAAATTAAAAACTGTACTGTGGAGATCACGGCTGTAAAAACTCATCAGCATTATATAATTCCGATACGTACATGAAATATATAAATGTTGGTACATTTTTAGTCAGCCTTTTTCCTTCAAATGAGATATTACCTATACATAATGACATTTTGTGTTATTACAGGGGGAAATAGATCTGTTTGAAAGGTTTGGGTTGTTCAACCACAAAACATCCAGTCTGTTTAGATAGAAAAATGCTGTGAAGCCTGCAGGAAATCCAAGGAAAACTTACATCAGTCGTATTTTGAAAATACAATTTTTTGACATTTTTTGTATGCATAGGAATCTCCTATATGCTTTATGAACAATTTGTCCATAGCAATGTCGCCATCACAATATTCCAGACTTTATAGTTTTGTATTTTTTATTTTGCTTAAAAAATCATTTGATTACAAAATATCATACCATACACAATACATCTCATAATCTTAGCTGTTTTTGAGATACTTGATGCTATTTTTCATACGTGTTTTGCCTCATTTTTACTTTAAATAAACTTTTTTTCATTTTGCATAAACATTTTACTAATTTATCGAGAAACCTTCGGTGGTATCCTTGAAAATCTTCTTCTAACATTACCAATCAATTGAGGGAAATATACAAGTATTTTATTCTTTTTAGCTCACCTGAGTCAAAGGTTCAAGTGAGTTTTTCTGATCGAAGTTTTTCCGTCGTCCATCAATCTTTCTGTCTGTTAACATTCACATTTTTGACATTCTCTGGAAACATTGAACCAATCTCAACAAAGCTTGGCATAAAACATCCCTGGATAAAGGGGGTAATACCCTCTTTAAATAGGAGATACTGGTAATCAAGAAAAGGCAAAAATAGTGAAGGATTTTTATAAAAAAAAATTCTCAAAGAAAAATTGATACTGTTTAGTATTTGGAAATAATTTCAAAGAGATTTTTTTAACCATGCAGCGTTGAATGTTTTTACTTTTATTTTTTTTTTTTTTTTTTTTTTTTTTTTTTTTTTTTTTTTTTGTAATAGCCGTTGAAACTCATAGTTTATATGTACATCCTATTCTATAAAGTCTACTTGTAAGTTGTTATAAAGTTCCAAAATTTATTGAAATCGGATCAAAACCGTTGGTGATGCAACCGTTTTGGCAATGCCTTTGAGTTTTAAATTATGTGTCATTGAATAGTGTATTTGTATGTTACGTTTTATCAAAATCGAATTTCCGATATAAATAATTGTAACTAAATGATTTTCTTATTTCAAAATGTTAGGGGTTTTTTGGATTAAAAAAAATCAATCTTTTGATTGCATTTTTTTTTATCCAAGTTAATTTAGTTCATCAAAAGTTCAATTTGTTGATATCAAAAAAAAATATTCTGATATCATATAATGAATTTTTCTTCTCAGAAAGTATTTCCTGATATTAACACTCTAATGCTTGATATAAAATATTCTACTTCTTGATAACAAGAATTCTATTTCTTGAAATCAAAATTATGATTATTGTAAGAAAACATGTAATGAGTCAATCCCTAACAAAAAAATACTATAGTTAACTTTACTTTACTATAGTTAGCTATAGTAAATCAAGTTCCAAAGTTTTTACTATAGTAAATCAAAGTTCCAAAGTTTTTACTTTAGTAAATCAAAGTTCCAAAGTTTTCACTACAGTAGATCAAAGTTCCAAAGTTTTCACTACAGTAGATCAAAGTTCCAAAGTTTTCACTATAGTAAATCAAAGTTCCAAAGTTTTTACTATAGTAAATCAAAGTTCCAAAGTTTTCACTATAGTAAATCAAAGTTCCAAAGTTTTCACTATAGTAAATCAAAGTTCCAAAGTTTTAACTATAGTAAATCAAAGTTCCAAAGTTTTTACTTTGGTACTATAGTTAACTATAGTTTACTATAGTGTTTTATTGTTAGGGATATTTTAATTCTATGTAAATAAAAAAAACTGTTAAATCATGGGGTCAAGTTTTCTTGGTTTTGAGAAACGGTATATATTCCTTCTCGGGGATTTCGTTGTGGAAGAAGAAACATAATACTGTGTCATAAAATGTTATCATTTCGAGGAAGATATGAATTAGTATTTTCACAGCATCCTGTAAAAAAACATCACCAATTTCAGTCTTCAGAATCGGAGGGAAAACATATATCACTGGTACTAAAGAAATACTGTTATTAAATTAACGATACCTTTTGAACTTCACGCTGCATTGATTGGAAATGCAGCCTATGCTATTCACAGAATTTTAATTGCTAAACAAGAATAAATGAAAAGAACAAATATATTTTAAGTCGTGACTCAGTTTATATGATATTCAACTGATAAATAGTTTCCTCTGACTGGATCCAATGCTGGTATTTCTCTCTTTGATTTAAATCAGAGGCCACATTGTCGTACATTTAAGAAGGGAAGCACTCTAATACGGAAGTGAATAAGCCTTAGACTGTGAAAATGGAATCGCCAAACATAAATACAAAGTGTGCCAAAATTAGACCGAAAAGCATATTTTGTCAATACATGCATGTATACGTAGGTAATAGTAGGAATTATCATGTAAATTTAAACTGTATGACAAACGGGATGACTCCAGCTTTTCCACCCTCAATTTTTGTTGTATCCAGTAATATTTCGCCATCACCTGCGTATGCTGTTTATGTCTCCCAGCTTAACTGATACGTAAGAGCATCCCGAAGAGTACGATCAATTTCTAAACCGAGGCAAGCTACTGACAAATAACTTGATGTTACAAGGGTTTCAACAACCCCATTTATAGTAAGCTTTTCTCAAATTCTACGGCCGTTATAATTGACCTTGTTTGTAAATACAACCTATCATTGGATCGTAATTTGTCTGACATGTTTCATACTATGTGTTAGGTCATTGCTTTTATACTTAATTTGACTATGGGGTGCTCTGTCTACCTGATCAATAGAGAGCTCACGGCGGGTGTGACCGGTCGACAGGGGATGCTACTCCTCCTAGGCGCCTGATCCTGTGTATGGTATTTCAAGGGGTCGTGTTTTTGCCCTGTTCACGATTAGGTTTTTTCTACTGTATTTATGAGATTGATTACAGTTCGTTATCTGCACCTTTTACATTACACTCCGTACGTTAACAACTATTGTGTGACTGAGTTACATATTGTGAAACATAACGATAGACAGTGAATTTATTGATGTGTTTATTAATTTAATTTTGGATATAATTTGCAAAATCAAAAATAAAAATGACTAGAATTCAGATTATGCAAATATATATAAAATGAAAATTGATGAAATGAATATTAAATGAAAATGGCTTGTATAATGTACAACCATTGCACAAAAAATATCAAAAAAGAAATATCATCCAAAAGTGAGACATGTAAAGTCGTGTTTATATCCACTATTTAGTTCGCTATTACCCTTCAAAATACCATATTGACTTTGGATCTAGCAGAAAATGGAACACATTTAATTAATTAGATCAGCTTTGACTTTAAAATGTATTCCCCAGAAGAAAATTGGGGAGGAGCGAATGATGTTCAAGTCCTGTGAAATGTTCACAGCTTTGGAGAATAGCTATGTCTGCGCATCCATAAAACTGTTCCTGTCCACCTCTGCCCATCCCACACCCGCCTCTGTCACAGCCCCAACTGTTACCTGATTAAAAAAAACAGAAAACATTAATTGATATATCTATTTCTGACCCTAACTTAAGAAAGACAATACTGATTTGGATAGAGAAGATTGTTTTTCGTTTTGGTATTAAAAATATTAATGGAACTTAAGCTTCATTGAAAACTCGATAAAATAATCTATTATTATTATTATTAATGCACTTTTCATAGCCGTTCTTAGATTGGAAAAAAATGAAATACTAAACAACACCTAAGTACTCTTACCCGTATTATATTTCCACTGTAGAACACACTGAGTACATGAAACGCTGGCAGGAATCTGAAGTTGAAAGTTAATCACTCCATAAACACCACCTCTGACGTAATACCTGGTGCTGTTGTCCGGAAATCTCAAAAGGTTCTTGTCTAAGCAAGCTTGGGTTATAGCTGTTGATGTGTCGTTATGTTCACAGAGTCTAAATTCAAAGTACCCAAGATGATTAGCTGTTAATTCTACCCGAACTTCCATATTTTGTCCAGAGGTATTATATTGATAGCATTTGGAAATGATGCCTGTAGCGTATTTTCCGCCAGCCTCGTTTTCACGCGGGTTTTGCTGGTAAGGGTCGCCACATAGACCACATTTTCCTTTGTTAAGTCCCCACTGATTCTAAGTAAGAAATTTGAAAAGAAAAATTGACATATTTCATAAAATATATGCTAATATTATTTATTTATAATTTAATTTATAATATTTATTAATTTTTACTGATTACTGATTTAAATAATTATTAGTGATATTTTCCCAATTATGTCGACAGATTCTATTTAAGTTTGACTGAGAGTATCACAATTCTTATAATAATTTAAATTTTTGTTTATCCTTATTTTCCCAGTATTATGATTAATATTTCAGTTGTTAAATTGACAAATTTTTGAAAATATTTCAAAGGTTTGAAATTCTGCCAGTTTATTGACCACAGCTACATTGTTTTAATTGAACCCCACATTTTTGATATTTTACAAACTCTCTAATCATTCAGGAGATATGTTTTAAATACATAAATCTCCGCAGAACCACAATCCTTTCCATTCAATTATTTTTCAATGTAAATGTCTTTATTACTAGTATCATATTCCTAGTGCTTTAGTATATGAAGAGAAAAACAATAAAATATCTATAACTGTAATTTCTTACCCATTTTCCCCCACACCAAAGCTGGTGATCATTGTCATTCTCGGGGGTAGGAAAACCATACCTCCACATAGAGCTTCTAGAGGGAGGCATGATCAGGCGGCCGTGAGCCTCCACCAAGGAGTAGGGCAGCAAGGATGTCAATGTGAAAGACAACAGAATACTTAGTGAATTCATCGTCTTGCAATTCTGATATATTGTCTTAGACTCTGAAAACTTTCTGGTTGTTGGATGTAGTTCCTTTCTCTTTTTATACTATCCCATTCCTCTTCCGTGTTGAGAATGAGTTTGGACTTTTTGTGCAGCACTGAATGAGGTAACTTGAGAATTTGACAGAAACAAAGATATGTGCAAATAATGGTTCAAAGAAAACTGATTAGGGTCAGACGGTCTAAATAAATTTCTGTTGACAATGAATCATTGTTGGTATCTTTTCTCTTTTTCCCCCCGAAAACTTACCCTCATGCATAAAGAAGAGGATACAGTCACAAAGTTGAAAATTTACAGTTTACATTCTTTTATTTGGTCTTCCTTTATGCGGCACAATATTTGAAACAAAAAACAACTAAGATCATTCCCTTATAATAAAGATTAAAATCATTTTACAAATGACAATATGTATTGAATTGTTTTTGAAATACTGCGCTTATCCTGTGTAAAATTATGCCAACTAGGACAAAGGAAATAACTAAAATATTACCTATCAGTAAACGTTAAGGAAAAAAATTACTTTGCGTCTATAGGGGTAAACGAAGGAGAATAGTTGATAAATAAATTTGGTTTAAATGATGGACATGATTGAATCTAATTTGCATTGATTTTAGCTTGAAAAATATTTTAATTTTGATTTTCAAGGAATAAAAAGAAAAGAAAAAAAAGTGTTATGTAGCTATCTAATAAGGGTCTGTCATCTTTATCATTATAATAAGGAAACGGATTAGTATAAGTTTTCAAACTTGTTTCCGAATCCTTTTTTTGATTTTTTTTTTTTTTTTTTTTTTTTTTTTTTGGTACTACGTATCTGTATCTTCTGCTTGTCATTTTCAAATAAAATATGGTTTAAACTAAAAAGAAAAGATATTCAATAATATTAAATGAATAAATCAAAAAAGAAATGATAATACATGTACATTTCCAATATTTGTTGCCTATTAATTTTAATTATTGTATATTCTTTGTAACTTGAAAAACTTTATTTATAGCCCGTGAATCTCTGCCACTTTTTGCATTTTATATTTTTTTTCATTGCCAAAGAGTTCCGATAAGGAAAGTAGTTAAAAATGCGCTATTCTTCATTTGTATCATGTAGATCTATGTTTATAAACGATTCATTTAATTTCAGTGTTAAGTGATGACAGACATATAGTAATAATAATCAGAATGACTAGTCTCAGAATGGAGTGACTTTACAAAGAAAGCAAATATTTCGTGACAAGTTAGTGTGTGTTGTGTTTCTTAACCTTTGCCCCCCTCCCCCCTTTGAAAAAAAATTAAAAGTAGATCCTTCTGATCTTTTATGATAGGCAATTTTAGATTTATTCACATATTCAAAATGACATTTGAATTAACAAATTTATTTTTTATTTAAGTTCCATTCTAATAAAGTTTTATAAAAGAAAATACACGGAAAACACGGAAATCCAAATGGTATGAGATGGTTATCTAAGAATCCAAATTATGCAGGAAGTTTGAAAGTTATCAAAACAATTTGACTCATTTTCCCGCATAGCTGGAAGATAACACTCAGTTTAAGTAAACAAACCAAAAAATAAGATTGTTAAGTTGTTAAAGAGAAGATTTGTTCAATTGATTTCCAGAAAATTTTGCAGATCAGAAGCGTTTTTCTCGTTATACTTCATTGAAAATGAGCACGTACTAACACCAATATGTTAGGAATTGATAAGTGTTTAACCAGTATCATTGTTTCATTAAAAATGAGCACGTACTAACACCAATATCCTTAGGAATTGATAAGTGTTTAAGCCAGTATCATTATTTCATTGAAAATGAGCACGTACTAACACCAATATCCTTAGGAATTGATAAGTGTTTAACCAGTATCATTATTTCATTGAAAATTGACTTTATAAATGTTAACTAAAATAGAGCTAGCTTGATTTTACTTTTTATTTCATCATAAATGTCTATTTACCAAAAATGCACAGGATAAACACATTACTTGCTATGGCATGAATAAAGAATGCTGGGGAGATACCACTATTTAGGCATCCTCTCCTTTCTCGATAATGATTTGAATAATCCCAAGCCTATCCTGTGCGGGAATAACCTCACGTTCTTCAAGTAATTTTACATCTTTATGAAAAATGTGATGAAAACAAACAATACAAATCTGTGAAGAGGGCATAAAACACAGATCCCTTGAAATTCCAGGCGTGGGATCAGGTGCCTAGGAGGGGTAAGCATCCCCTGTTGACCGGTCACCCGCTGTGAGCCCTATGCATTGATCAGGCAGACGGAACATACCGTACTCAAATTCAGTACAAAAACAAAGGCATAACAATTGGTATGAAACAATTCAGTCAAAATACGACCCAGTTATAGGTTATATTTGCTAACAAGGTCATTATAACGACCATAGAATTTACGAAATGCCGACTTCGAACGAGGTTGTTGAAATTCCTATATCAACTAATCTGTCAGTAGTCTGCCTCGGTTTAAAAATTGATCGTACTCGGAGCATGCTCTTGAGTATCGAATAAGTTGAGTGATGTAAACACCATATGCAGGTGATAGCGGAATATTACCACATAAATGAGGAAAGTTGACGATGGAAAAATTGAAGTCATCTCGTTTGTCATACAATGTTTTGTTAGGTGGTCCTTATCGTCTTTAGTCAGTAAAACATCCAAACATGAAACAGATGTGGCAGACTCTCTGGTGTCTTTTATTTCAAGCTCACTGGGATATATCTAATCGACATACGAATGACAGTAACTATTGATAATTGATAATACATCGTCGATATATCGAAATGTTGAGTTGAAGGCCACAGCAAGTGTTTTCTTCTTCTCATGTAAAAGTTTTTGAATAAATTCTGCTTCATAGGAATATAAAAACAGGTCAGCTAATGAAGGAATACAAAATATATGTTCTTTTATCTTACTGATTTATGAACAGTTCTTCTAAATATGAAATAAATAAGTTTATTCAGTATAAGTATCTGTCTACGTTATTATGAAAATAAAAATTTCATTAACTTATCATGAATTTGAAACAAACAAGTTTATTTTTTTCACTGATATTATAACTTTTAAATTAATATGTTTATTCATTACATTGATATCCAATTATCTTAATATAAATTGAAATTAACATCGTTATTCTTTTCATTGATATCTGACTTACTTATTTTAAATTTGAAATTAATTTTTTTTTAATTCATAATAATGACGTCTGTTTTTCTTATAATTTTTAAATTAATATACTTATTTTTATTATTGTAAATTTTTATCTCATTAAATACATTAAATTAATATGCTTATTTGTTACAACGATATCGATTTATTATACTTTAATATAAATTTTGAGGATAATATATTTAATAATTTCATATATATCTGTTTTCCAAATTATAAGATCAAAATGAATATATCTATTCATTACATTGATATTTGATTACCTTAATGTAAATTTGAAACAATATGATTATTTAATTTATTGATATCTGTTTACCTTATTATAAATTTGACATTTCTTTTTCCCCTTTCTCCAATACGTTGAAATATGATACTGTACTTCTAGATAGATATTTTTACCTTATTTATCAATTTATTTTCATAGTATGTTTTTGTTGCTCTTTGTACAAATTTAGGTTCTGATCTTATTTATTTAACCAGTTTAAAAATACACGTTGCATTAGTGTTCACGTATGAATGCTCAGTACATACATACGTAGTTTTATTCGATCATTCCGATTTTGTATCTATTTTAAGACTTTTATTTCTAATTTTGTTGTATTTACATCTTTATATTCAGGTATTTTTGGTGTTTGGAAAACCACAAAATTTGTTTTGCGTTAAATTTCAAAGAAGACGGCTGGAGTTCTGTTGTCAATTTTTCAACTCATCTTGAAGACTATGAACACGAGACGAGTATTTTGTCAGACTTCATACAAATTTATAAGCTGCACTGAACTGAAGAATGACCTAATAAATCAAATGAATCTCTTCATTCACAAAAAAAATATTATAAAAACCAAATAACTTTTTTAATGTTGCGAAGTCTGTTTACTGAAGAAAAGGGACTTATGAGTTGTCTTTGCTGTTTTAAGCACTTGCAATAAGTTCTTATGGTTATTATGGTGGCAAGTTTGTGGAATACTTACCACTAGTATAACTAATTATATACATAGCTCCAAGGATCATCAAGCACCTGCAAGATCCGATGAGTCTTTCATTATTCATTTTATAACGACTGAGGGTAACCTCCGTTAAAAAAGGGGGACAACCAAAAACAAAAAAAAAAAGTTTCATAAATCAAAATCATTTACATGTAATTAAAGAAATGAATACATGTATTAGCTTAAATCTATTTATGGCTGTGAACTTGAAGTAGAAATCAATGAAAAATGGAAATAACCATCATATATTTTATATGATTTGAAATAAAAAAAAAATCAAAAATATCCTCTGTTCAAAAAAGTTTATTTGCATCGGACGTATTATGCAATTTCATGGCATGGAACAAAAGGCCAATTCAATTGTCAGGCATGGACAAACAATAATCAGAGAAAGTAGATCGGATTAAGTAAATCAAATTAAACAAATAAAACATAAAAATGTAAAATTCTCAAAAAAATGAATGATATCGAAAATGGCATTTAAAAATTAGATGTGATCACATTACATTACATGGTATAGTACATATACATTATAAAACTCTATTTTTGTCTCTGCTGTTCAAATGAGATTTTCACTAAAGTATTATTACATACAATAACGTAGCATAGGAGAGACTGAAACAAATATATCCATTTGAATTTTGAATACATTTCCTATTAGAAATTAGTGAAGAAGGAATGCTATTAAGTCTCTAGAAGTGATTACAGCTTCGAAGAATTGCAATGTCTGAACAGCCGTAATATTGCTCCTGCGCACCATGACCATTTCCACTTCCATATTTGTCAAAACCCCAAAAGTTACCTGTTAGAATGAAGTAAGGAAAATAATTGTAATATTTATTGTGGGTTTGGTAATAACACAGCATACAGCATAAAGTAAACAAGCCTTTTAAATGATTTTTATACTCTGTGTATCTGTTACACAAAGAGTGATAAATAATGTCTCTCCAATGTGTCTTTCAATGTTCTGTTTAAAGTCAAATTAGTTTTTAAAACACCTATTTTGACTAAATGTTATATACAAGGTAGAAGACGTTCTAAAAAAGGAGATGTTATCTTCATAAGCAAATTTTCTAGTAGTCATGCCTAATTCCTAATATTACTTGAAAAACAATTTCGTTTGAAGTCATCTTTAAATGTGAAATTATGCATCAGTGATAACAACTAGTTACTCTTACCCGTATTATATTTCCACTGTAGAACACACTGAGTACATGTCACTCTGGCAGGAATCCGAAGCTGAAGGTTTATCACACCTTTAACGCCACCTCTGACGTAATACCTGGTGCTGTTGTCCGGAAATCTCAAAAGGTTCTTGTCTAAGCAAGCCTGTGTTATGGCTGTTGATGTGTCGTTATGTTCACAGAGTCTAAATTCAAAGTACCCAAGATGATTAGCTGTTAATTCGACCTGAATGTCCATATTTTGTCCAGAGGAATGATATTGATAGCATTTGGAAATGATGCCTGTAGCGTATTTTCCGCCGGCTTCGTTTTCACGCGGGTTTTCCTGGTATGGGTCGCCACATAGACCACATTTTCCTTTGTTAATTCCCCACTGATTCTAAATATGAAATTTTAAAGAAAATTTTACAATTTTTTTTATAAAATATAAGCTAATGGTATCAATATTTTTTAACTTTTACTGATTTTAATTATATTGGTCACCATATATTTCCCCAATTATGTATTGACAGATTCTATTTAGATATAACTGAGAGTATCACAATTCTTATAATCATTTTAATCATTCAAGGTTGTTTACCATTATTTTCCCGATAATGAAATTAACAGTCCTACGGTTGAGATAAAAGTTAAAATTTCAGATGTTAAATTTTAGTCCAAATGAAAACTTCAAACATAACCACGACTTTTTATCCTTGGTCCCATAGAGTCAAAAGTTGTAACAAACTAAGTCAATCTTTACCATACTGCCTGACTTTGTTTATAACATCTGACCAAAAATAAAATAAAATAAGCAATCTACCTTCTTTTCATATAAGCGATCTTCGTTTGCCATATCTTATCAATATTAGTAGTTTTATAATAGGAAAAGAATCAAATTCTTTAAAATATGTTTACCCAATATCCCCCACACCACAATTGGTGATCCATGTAATTTATGGGAGTACTGAATCCGTTTCTCCACATAGAACTCCGTGACGGCGGCATAATGAGTCGACCATGGGCGTCAGTCATTAAGGGGAGATAACAAGCTATGGTCAAAAATACAAACGTACCGGAAGTCTCCATCTTTGAATCTGCTACAGTTCTAAAATTGAATTCCCTTTTTATACTTTTTTGAATTCTTTTCCTTATAGGATGTGGTTTGTCAGGAGTATTTTTTATGCAATAATTAGGGTAACGGAGGTATCTTAAGGTACACAGAAGATTATCAATTTTATTTCAAAGTAAACTGATAAACAGATAAACTCTGACATACTGAATCATTGTTTGATTCAAAAGATAATCTAAATAGAGGATGATAGTCAGTGAACAATCGTTTTGGAATAACATAAAATTATCAAGGAACTATTTTAATAATATTCATTATTTTATTTTATTTTTTTTTATTTTTTTTTCCACTAATTTTCAACTCATTAAATTCTACTTCAATACAATATTAAATTCTTTTTCTGAAGACATCTTTGCTCAGAAACAGAAGTATTCAGGAACGCAATGCATTTCACTCACCCCTTTTTAAATTTTAATTGATGGAAATACACTCTTATTCTTGGACAGGTTTAAGTAAACAAATGAAAACAAAAAGACAAACTTGAAACCCTTGAGTTATAACACTCCCCTGTTCTCAAACAAAAACATGCGATGAAAATGTCGTTCCCCCATGAAACACAGGGTCATCATTTACTTGCAGCTTATCTACCAAAGAAGTCTTCTTAAATCTGTCCTTGAAGGATTTCTATCATAACTCAAAAAATTGACATACAAAAGCTGATTTCTTTGCCTACTTTAAAAAATCACATGTAGCCTTTACTTTGCCAATTTTATGATAAAGATAAAGCGAATCCTTGAGGGAGTTAACAAGATTCCAGTTCCCTTAGGCCAGGATTTTTCCCGAGGGAAATAGTCCTGGTTGAGGGGAAGTGGAATGAAATATATGGAGATAACGAACAGTAGTCAAGCTCAAAAGTCCATTAAACATTACAAAATAGGAGCAGAGCAAACACGGACCTCCAAAACATCAGAGGTGGGATCAGGTGCCACGGCGGAGTGAGCATCCCCTACCGACCGGTCAAATCCGCCGTGTGCTCCTTGTCATGATCGGGAAATAACGGAAAAATCCGTCGACAATTCAGTGTGTAAATAATGGCATAACAATTAGTATGAAAAACGTCAGTCAGCATTTGACTCAATGATAAATTGTATTTGCTGACAAGGTCATTGTATCGACCATAGAACTTACGAAATGATGACTTTAAACGAGACTACTGATATTCTTGTTTCATCAACTTGTTTGTCAATAATTTACCTCATTTTAGAAATTGTACATACGTAGAGCATGCTCTTGCGTATCGAATCAACTGAGAGATATAAACCCCGTATGCAGGTGATGAAGGTATATTGCTGCATAAGTAAGGGCAGTTGACGATTGAAAAGTTAAAGTCATCACGTTTATCATAAAGCTTGGTTGTTAGATTACCATTAACGTCTTTTTCAAGTAGAATATCCAAATATGAAACCGATGTGTCAGACTCTGTGGTATCTGTTATCTCAAGCTCACCGGGATATATCGTATCGACATAAGAATGGAAATAACCATTGTTAATTGACAATACGTCGTCGATATACCGGTATCTAAATGTCGAGTTGAAGGCCACAACAAGTGTTTTCTTCTTTTCACGTATAAGATTTTGGACAAATTCTGCTTCATATGAATACAAAAAAGGTCTGCTAATAACGGGGCGCAATTGGTACCCATGGGAATTCCAATAGATTGTTGGAAGACCTGGTCTATAAAAACCACATAGATATTGTCCATCAGAAACTCAAGCATCTTTTTAATGTCAACTTCAGAGTACTTGTGTATACAAACAGAATGTTTTTTAACAAAATAATTTTGCAAATGACCAATGACAAGGTAAGTAAATTTACGAGCTCCGTTTTTATGGCAAAAGCAGCTGCCAATAATATCAAAAGGCCTGGACTTTAATTTATCGTGGGGAATGGTTGTGTACAAAGTTGAAAAGTCGTAAGTTTTTAAGCTGTTGATTTTGGTAAAATCTTGTGATTTCAAATTTTCCAAAAGTTCCTTGGAATTTTTAAGTATCCACATCTGATTTACACCACTTCTCGAATATATTGTTGCACAATACTCCTGAAGTTTCTCCTTCACTACAGTTAATATCTTTGTGAGGAGTAAAGAAAGAGACTTGGTTGAACATTTACTTGCTTACTACACCAATGATATACTTTTTACTTGTTTCATTATACCTATACAAATTTCGAAGCAGATATTATCTGACTTGACTAACGCACGGCAAAACGTGTATTAGTCAATTCACAGTAATTTCTAGGGAATTATTCACATCTAGCGATATAATTTTATATAGGTAAAAATCAGTAGAGGTATATAATAGAATGCTCCAATTCGATAAGTATAAGAAATATGTGATAAATCATACCAGTTTAAAATATGTGACTTCAATATTAAAAGCCTTGAGTGCTATATGTAAATCTGCATTATTTTTTATGTACTAATATTTTGTGGTCTTGCTGTTCTTGACAACATACATTTTCTCTATTTTTATTGAATTATTCTTACTTAACTTGAACTGGCAGTGGTGCTATCCTTTACTGGTGCAAATTTAGAACCCTTTTACATGTTAATATATTTACTAGAACTTAACGGATCTTGACTAATGTATCTAGAGAATTTCAAAATGTTGCGCTGTTCCAAGACCATCACGAGACAGAAAAGGTCGTTAGATTTTCATCATATTAAAACCTTATACCTGCTACATTAAATTTGATGAGCTGATACATTCAAAGATTAAAGGAATAGATTGATATATAAGAGATGTGCAGATATTGTATGAGTTTGAAATTAAATAACCATACTACGTGTCCGCGGTTTTACCTGACAACCCTCTTATATAAATTTCTTCATCCCTTTTAGAGAGTTCTTTATTTAAGTTAGACCATTCTAAGTTTTTTTTCTATGTTTAGCGTCAGCGTACGCCTTGGTTTTTGGCACCCCGTATAAGATACTATTAAACAAACAAAATCAGCATTCATGAAATTGATTATTCTGTTTGAAATCATTAAAATTCTATCAATTTCTCTAGATATTTATCTGAGGGATATTCATTTTAGGTTTATTTTAAGCATTTAATACCTTAATTTTGTTGAAGAATAGATCTTTCACCGAGACAATAGATTAATGAAACTAATCCTTTCAATGACGTCGTTTTTTTTTTTACTATTTATATGTCCGTGTTAGAGTTTGTGGCTTGTGTGTGTGTGTGTGAGGGTGTGTGTGAGATGGTGTGTGGGTGTGTGTGTGTGCGAATAGATAGATAGGTTTTGGATCGAGAGATGGGTGGACGCTAAACAGGGAAAAAACTTGGAATGGCCATATTACAAATCTACACAATCTCAAAGTATAATCGCCAGTTTTCTGAAATTTTAATTCTGATTCCTAGATTAAGCGATAATTTAAGTTTTGTGTTCAAAACATTAACTATAACTTTTAAAACTATTTTCTGATATTTATTATGTTCCAAATTAAGATAAAATTTGGAAATGAAAGAAGACTTTTTCTTGATTTTTTTATAATAAATCTGTTCTTGATCTGGAAGCCCTTCAAGGGCCCGGGGATAACGTAGAGATCGATCTTTAGTGTATGCAACGAATTTCTACATATTTCATTTCATGAGAATAGAGTGATAAGTTGTGTCATATATATATTGAAAAAAATTATTCCATAATTCCATGCGATAAATTTTTAAATTTCGGAATGATAAAATATCAAATTTATCACTGGCTCCATGGCTAAGAGACTTCTCCAGTACTTTATATTCTCTGTGATGTTCCTTATCGTTACAGATTATTGGCAACAAAGATAAGTCACGGACTGTTTAGTTCTATCTCCTTAGGCCCGCTACATACTTCAGCCAGTATTACTCGGAAAAGACTTACAGAAACATGCTGCGTGTTTTGATCTTTCTCTCTGTTGCGTATGTTGCTAGATGCAGCATCTGTTGCGTGCCCCGCCAATGGGAGGGTACGGAAGGATCCACGATCGGACTTGTGCGGGAGGGAGCGCCGAATTCTAACTTCATTCAGGTCTGTATCTCCAGCATCCGTACAAATACAAACCAATAAAGATACAGTCTCGTTAGAGACTTCTGGTTGGTTTCTTTCCTGTGTTGAAAATATGCACTGGGATAATCCAACTGAAAGATCCAAGCAAAATCAAATCACAAGTCACACATATAATCGTTTTTGTCTATAATTAAAACGTAATTCTAAAATCCGTATGTAGCACACTCAATTTTATGCAATACTCAACAAGCATCAACTACCCTTCTATTGCTAAATTGTCTGTAAATGTGGAATTTTTCAGAGCTCGGTAAATATAGCTTATGATGCCATCAACCAGAGGGTAGCGGCCACTCAATATGTGGATGTTGACGGATACCCACTAATGGCAAAAATTATTATGGATTATAAAAACGTGAGTAACACCTCAAGTTCATTTTGGGTAGCGAAGAGCAAATGCTCTGTGTTGTCTTTGTATGGAATAACACTGTGACTTTTTGATGAATCAGAGTTACGTGTACTGACGTCGACTATTAGCAATTCAGAATAATAAGAGAAAATGCTATCTTCACCAGGAAAACGTTTATATTCTGTTTTTGTTCCATATACATGTACTATACAGGGACCACAATCTCCTATAAACTGAATTTCTTTGGGTTTTCAGGCATGTAGTCCTCTTGTCTAATAATCGGTCTGTGTGCTGCATACTTCTTATAATCCTTTCTGTCTTTTGATACAATTTCACAAGAACTTTTCTGAAGGGACGATACTACCATACTGAGGCTACCATGTTCATCCAGTCATTAGTTTCTTTACAATGCATCTCTCTCAACTCTTAGGGTTTCGCCATTTTTAAAGTTATTCCATTTAATGTACATGGATAGTTAATATGAAGGAAGTGAAATGAAAGTGTCTATAATGTGAATTTGAAATTTTGTCTCATTCTGGTAACATATTTTTATCCCATGTCCTTGGTAAAAAATAATGATTCGCGATAAGTTTTGATATTTGTCCCATTTTCTCTATGTACCAAAAACTTCTCAGTATTTAGAATTTAGATGTGTGATAAAATTTTAACAGTAAACACTATACTTTTTTATGTTTTTATAATTTAACATGACTACTTTGCGTTGATGATTCCACTTTGGATGCTTGTAAATAGTGACATGATTTGGATGCTGTTAGGTTTAGTATCATACTACATGTATTAGCATCCATTAACAAATACCATATCTTTACTCATTGAGCATAGATATATTATATTCCGTCTGGAGATATTTTCTACCTCCGTGCCTTGAATACAGATAGATATAACATGTATCCCAAACCAGTGTCATGTTGAAGCTTTTTAGGGCGTTCAATTTTCAATTAATTTGAAGTTTAACTCGACCAAATTTGCCCTTTTGGTAATCTCTCAAATAGGTGTATTGTCAAGTGGTTGTAAAGCAACTGGATCATTTCGTTCTTTTAAAGTTGAACAAGGTGTTTATCTGTCATTCCTGGTAGTGAATTCCATTTTGTGATAGTGTAGGTTTGTTTCAAAGGTACAATGTACAAAAATCATTGCCCATAATCTTTTATTTATGTTTACAGGGTGTACAATATTCAATTAACGGTACTACAAGTATGCGTTCAACAATTATTGCTTATAATCTTTTATTTATGTTAACAGGGTGTACAATATTCAATTAACGGTACGACATGCGTACGAACCACTCTTCCAGCGTTCCAAGAAAACTGCATCCCAGGTTAGTTGCGCATGATGACAAGCTTGATTGTAGAATAAATAGAGGATACAGTATTCAAGGTTTTGTGGTTGGATATGGAATTTGTTTCACGAGTGGGACAGGATTTTTTTAATATTTTCACGACTGCGAAGCACGAGTGAAATAACAAAAAATCCTGTCTCTCGAGTAAAATAAATTCATATCCAACTACAAAACATTGAATTTTCTGTTTATTACATTTTCTTTGATTTTTCTTTGCCTCTGTCTTTTCTTCTAACACAGTGTTCTTACCACAGAGGCTGTGACGTCTTAGTTGAGACGTCATAACTTTGCAATTGTGAGTTTGAAAACATTGTAACATGGATTTTAGCAACATATTTGGGAAGAAATAGACAGTTTTAGTATCTGTCAAGATGTTCTAGTTACTATTTTTATCTTATGAAAGGCTAGAAGTTATCTTTACTCACTTTGATATCCTTTCACACTGTGACAGAATATCCCTTTGGTATCCTTTCACACAGTGACACAATATCGCTTTTATTCAATAAACAAATCACAGTATTTCACTATTGAAAATGTAATAAAATGGAAAATGTAATATTTTAGACGTTATGACATGTACTGCTCTACTGTAATCTCTCCAATACATTTAGAGTAATCTCATAAGCAGGCAAACTCATTCAAAAGTCGTATGTAACTCACAAAAAATCAAAATTATTGCAGCTAGGTGTACATGTATTTCAATGTGAGCAATCTGTTCAGAATTCACAAAAAATATAACTTATGTCACATAGGTTATAAAAGTTTTATACTTTTGAAGAACACATGTAAGTTATATGTGTACTTTAAAAGTATAAAAAAAAACAGTATGATTTACAGACAAGAAAGGAACAATATGTCATATCTCATTGCATCCCAACCAATAAGACCCCGAAAACGGTACCACAATTCTCTGAATTTGTTTCTTTGCACTTTCATCATTGATACAGATGATGCTCAGGAAACTCAAACCACCATTGGAGCCGGTGGGAAGACATTGTCCCTCAAGAGTTACATAATGGTAGTGGGAAACCTCACCGTCACCTCCTCGGTGACTGAAGCCGGATGTATACCTGTTTCAGAGAGCATTGTGGGACACTCCCCGGGACGTAAGTTTTAGCACTTTCAAAACGTCAAATTCTTGATTAAATTTCAATAAAAAATTATTTAGCTGATGAAATTTAAAAGGTGGTTACCTACATGTATGCTATTAAATGTTAAATTTTGGGGGAAATAAAAGCGTTCTTACGCATACACAGGCTTTTTTTAGCGATAGGAATTACTTTGAAAATACTCACTTTTTTTCCAGAATCTTCCAAAAGGACAAATAAATTTCATAAAATGTTAACATTTTTTGCAGTACAACCATGTTGACTTATTAGTTTTTACTTTTTTGCAAAGAGAACAAATCCTTACTGGTGTTTTAATTCATCAACTAAGGATCTATCTACCAGTAGAACTGTAAATCACTTTTAATTCGCTAGAACTTTTATTTGCGCATAAATTCGCGACATCTACTCGCCAAACTTTCGTTCTCCTGTATTTTTGTATTCCAAACGATTTCAAACAAAACAAACTCAAAATTCGTAAAATCTTTGTCTCGATTATAAAAAGCAAATAACTATCTCACAAATAAAGGTGTCGCCTCACAAAAAAAGTATATTAGTCACTGAATCAACTTAATACAGTGTATTTCATAGTTCATTCATTCTTTGCCTGTCTTTAATCAGGATACATCCATATTGACTTCACTATGTCCAATACATTAGTAACGACATATTTCTTTGCCATTTTTTTTTTTACAGAATATATCCATATGACCACTGGTTACAGTGGTATTGTCCCTGGAATTTCAGATCCTTCAGTTTTTACGCCACCCTTTATGTGTATGGCTGGTCCCATTTATCCTGCAGTAAGTCGTATTTCAATCTAATTAAAATCAGAGATCCGCGCCATATACACTCTGTGCGGATCTAAGAAGTCCGATTTTAATTAGATTGGTCGTACTTTTAAGAAGAGAAACTTATTAATGTTTCATTAAGTTTGAAAACTCAGTCCTATCAGCTATCCACAGTTTTTTTTTTCACAACATCTAAAAGACAACTCTTCAAATAAAGACATTTGTTTATTGTTTATTCAATAATTTAGTTCTTCATATATCACTGTATATTTTTTTATTTTATTTTTCAGGAGGTTTCTATGATGAAAAGAGTTTCATTCCTTCATCCTTTGTAAAATATTTGTTTAGCTTCTGTACAATTTATCAATCATTAAATTTTATATTCTAACAAAATAACTCTTATATCTTATTAAAGAGTTTTATTACCTGAATTATCTTTAAAATGCACAACTTTGAAAAATGTGATATCAATCTCTCAAAAGCATAAATGCATATTATGCAATATCCATTAACCTTTGAAATAAACATTTGAAAAAAAATGGTTGACTGCCTCTTGCATCAAACTCTATTGACAGTGATCACGAATGCATTTAATGGATGACTTGGAAATATTTTTGTGATGAAATGACTGAAATGAACACATTTCTTTAACTGAGGAGATTCTTTAGTGACCCTGAGACACAAAGCTAGCTGACAATTCATAATCTAATCATTTAAAAGGTTAAAAAAAAAAAACGAACTTCACTACCAGTACACGTACAATCTACCCCATTTAAAGAGTAAATAATCAATTAAATATTAATTATGAGTCAATCATATTCAAAAATTCAATAAATGAACATAACAATCTAGAATTAACATTGTTTTTTTGTAAACATTTACATCTAAAATGTATCACCAGTTAAGATCCAGGGTTTAAAAAAAGTGCAATTAAAAAACCCAACATATTGCTATATTCCACTAGGAAATATAATAAGGAAAAAACAACATGGATTTTTAAATAAAAGAAAAAAACATACATAAATTAAAACACATATTACATAAAAAATGTTATTACAAACAACAACTGAACACAGTTTAAGTGGTTTACAATCAATTCCACTGAGCAGTACCAGCACTTTATAATAACGCCTTCAGTACCATGAAAAAAAATATTGTCAATTAGGCCTCATAAATTTAAAATTTAGATTCTCATCCTAATTTGCTGAAAAAGTGGGGCGGGTGGGCGGATTTTATTTTTTATTTTTTAAAGTATCAACAAAACATTCGTACACGTAATTTTTACATTATGTTAATGCCAATATGAATAGATTTATTTATTGTTACCATATTCTTTTAAATATCTACAGAAGATTCTTGTTATAGAAAATTAAAATATTTATAGTTTTATTAACAAATTATCAAGTACACAGATACCTGGATACGGCACACGCCAAACAAAATGAGGTGCTGATCCTAATAAATTGCATACGCATGTTTTCTCATCGGCCTTTCCCCATATACCTTATAGTTTTACCATCAACTCCTTCTGTTCTGTGTGATATACAGATATCACAGATTTCCATTGTCCTCATACATTCAATCATTCTTGAGACTTGACATGTTCGACATTAAAATATATCATATTTTGCAAAACAGGATTGTGTAAATCTGTAAAGTATTCTACTGAAAAGCCTAGGCCTGAACAGTTTTAAGATTTAACATTTCCTTAGCACTATTATTCTCTAAAGTCTTTGAACGATGTTTTATTTTTTTAATGCAAAATCACACACAACTAGAGATCGTTATTTCAAACTTGACCATGTGTATTTTCTTCGTCTGTTTTTACTTGGTTAAAATCTCTTTAAAAACTTGCCCATGCCAGTGATGGTATCTAGATGTGTTTATATGTTATTTTTGCTTTTCTGCCTTCTCTTTACTGACAAAATATCTTTTCCTTGCATATTTAAACTGCTTTTATTGCCGATTTTTCTCCATTCTTCACATAGGTTTTTTGCTATAAACAGCGCCACGCGACTTTTAATACAGACGGGAGATAACTCTTAAATTTTGACCCAGATTTTTGCTGAATAAAAATACATGAAAATAATATGTTTGGCACCTAAAAAGCAAAATAAAAAACGACGGGGCGGGGCACTTTGAGAGGGGCGGGCGGGGATGAGAATCTAAAGATTAATTTTACCTGGCCTTATGCAAAATGTACAATCTCTAAATGTACCTCCAAGGGAAAAGTCTATTATTTTGATTGTTTATTTTTCTCCCCTGATCTTCCCAAGGTTTTACTAAATATTTTTTAAAGTCACCAATATTTTGTTTATCACAGGATTCACATTTTTTTGCACTGGTAAATCTATTTCTGTGAGAACACTGTTCACAGATTTTCATAAAGTTTGTATGTATCTCAATACTAGGTTAATTTTTCTCCCTTTTCTTTGGTTTGTGTGGTATACCATGCACCCTGAATCTATATAGACATGTATACAATGGATTTCCATGGTTACTCAATATACTCAGTTGAACAAACTTGTAAACACCAACGTTTGGTTTCTGAAATGAAAATAAATATAACCAGCATTCAGAGGAATGAATAGCAACACATTAAATGCGGATATATGATTTCTGGCAAATAAGAGGCAACGTTTCCATTTCAAAGTTAGTTTTAACACAAGTGAACTACCCCCGGTAGCTTTACTGCAATTTTAAAATACTATATACAGGGAAATTTTTGTCCCTGCTATATTTTTGCCCTTGTTGCAAATGGGTGAATATAACAAGAGGCCCAAGGGCCTTGAATCGCTCTTCTGATAAACTGTACAATCTATCATTTCTATTTGAAGCCTCTAAGTATCCTGTATATTTAGATAAAGCCATGAAATTCCAAAGGTAGGTCATCACGACCTACATTTAAGATGAAACACTTTGAAAACCCAAGATGATTCTAAGCCAATTAGTACCTGAGAGTAGGTCATGGTGACCTACTTATCACTTGTCATTCTCTGAGGACACAAGATGCATCAACTAAGTTTGATGATTCTAAGCCAATTAATACCTAAAATATTTTTAAAATTATATCCATAAAATTTCAAAAATAGGTCACAGTGACCTACTTTTCAGATGACATACTTTGAGGATCCAACATGCATCAACTGACAAAGTTTGATGATTCTAAGCCAATTAGTACCTGAAATGTTTAATTAAAGCCATAAATTTTCAAAAGTAGGTCAAGGTGACCTACTTTTCAGTTGAACTACTCCAAAGACCCAAGATGCATCAATTGACAAAGTTTGATGATTCTAACCCAATTATTACCATTTAATTATAGTCATATAAATTAAAAGTAGGTCATGGCGACCTACTTTTCAGTCGACCTACTCTCAGGACTTAAGATACATCAACTGACAAATTTCGATGATTCTAAGCCAAATAGTGCTCGGAAAATATTAAATACAGCCATAAATTTTTAAAAGTAGGTCATGGTGACCTACTTTTCATGTGTCATACTCCAAGGACCCAAGATGCATCAACTGACAAAGTTTGATGATTCTAAGCCAATTAGTACCTGAAAAAATTTAATTAAAGCCATAAATTTTCAAAAGTAGGTCACGGTGACCTACTTTTCAGTCGACTTACTCCGAAGACCCAAGATGCATGAACTGACAAAGCTTGATGATTCTAAGCCAATTATTACCTGAAATATTTAATCATAGTTTTATAAATTGAAAAGTAGGTCACGGTGACCTACTTTAAAGTCGACCTACTCCGAGGACCCAAGATACATCAACTGACAAATTTTTATGATTCTAAGCCAAATAGTACCCTTAATATTTAAATATAGCCATAAAATTTCAAAAGTAGGTCATGGTGACCTACTTTTCTGTTGACATTTTTTGAGGACCCAAGATGCATCAACTTACAAAGTTTTATTATCATAGGCCTTCAAATGTCCAAATTATGCCTCTAAAACGCTTTGAAATCAAATGCCTGCAAAGTTCAAAAAGTAGGTCACTGTGACCTACTTTTTACTAAATATGTTTTATGGCCCCAAGATTTATCATCTTACCAGATTTAATGATTCTAAACCTCTCAGTTTTCGAATTAATGACCTTAATTGTTTTGAAAAAGATTAGCCATAAAATTCAAAAAGTAGGTCAAGGTGACCTACTTTTTAGTTGACGTACTTCGAGGACCCAAGATACATCAACTGACAAAGTTTGATGATCATAGGCCTTATATTGTTCAAAATATGCCTCTAAATCATTTTGAAAAAGAATGGCCGCAAAATTTAAAAAGTAGGTCGCCGTGACCTACTTTTGAGTCAACATGATATGAGGTCCTTAGATGCATCAAATGACAAGATTTAATGATCCGAGTCCTTATAGTAAGCAAAATATCAACATTTTAATAAAATGTAATTTTTGGTCAACTTTGAAGTGACCTCGAGACCACACCCTTTGCCCAAGGGTGATTCCCTGTGCAAATTTTAATCTACAACATATCCTTATCCTTTTGTGTAAGTTTGGTGATAATCTGTCCAGTGGTTCTTGAGAAGATTTTTTAGCAACCAGTACTTTTGTTTCTATTTTCCTAATTATCTCCCCTTGTTTAAGGGTCACAACCCTAGTTTTAGTATAAACAGGGGCCTTGGGCCAAGGATACCCTGTGACAAATTTGACAATAATTGGCCAAGGGGTTCTTGAGTTATGGCCCATATTCTAAAAAGTTTATGCACACCACACACTGCACACCGCACAAATTGCCATAGCATTAGCTCTTTGAGTCTTTGGCTCAGAAGAGCTAAAAATGGGCAAATTCAAAGAAGACAACATTATGATTATCTAATTTACACAACTGTGTCTGGGCCAATTTAAAATAGGGCAAAATTAGTTCCAAGTGTGAAAGGGCAAAATAACATGAGGCAAAAATAACCCTGTATACAGTACTGTGATATTACTAGTGAAGTTCATCATATTACCTGTGATATTAATACTGTGATATTAATAAACTACATCACGTAATTAACTGTACTATTATGATATTACCTGCACTTTATATTACCTGTAGTTTTATGATATTACCTGTACTTTAAATTACCTGTACTTTTATGATATTACCTGTACTTTAAATGACTGTAGAGGAGGACCAGCATCTGTATAGGTGAAGTTCCCTAAGCGCTCCCCTACTTTGTCATTTTCATTGTTCAGGCCCTAAAGTGAAACATTAATTTCATATAATTTCACTTTAAAGCAAAATAAAACGTGTAAGAGTATTCTGATACTGTAAACATGGAAATTTGCATGTGAGGTAATTTACACTAAATACAAATGTACCGGTATAAGAAAGCTTTCATGTAAATATTCCCCATCCCCACATACCAATGCTTTTAAATACATGTATATTTTATTCAGTTACAACATTACATAATCCATAATACATAATCCCGGCATCAGAAATAATCCAAGCATAATGTTCTTCCTACTAATCAGCATAATTTACAATATGCATGAATATCCACTTTTACAGTATGGTATTGCTGCAGCTACTGCCTGCCTTCAGAATTACAAAATGTTCACGCATTCATTCATGTTTATCAGCAATCCTTCTGTAAGTAGCATTGATATTGAAATAAATTCTCTAATTTCTTGTTTTGATTTCTACAAAACTCTTCTACTTGTTTTCAGTCTACAGAAAGATAATATATCCTGGTTTCTTACTATGACTGTAAAGTCTTTGGGGGCACTATCAATTTTTCCTTCAGGAGCCAGGGACTTGGGGATGTGCTCCAAGGTGAAGGCTGTGGGGGTGATGTTGTCTGATAGCTCAATTACAAGGTGACCCTTATCACCCTGAAATGCCCAACAGGACCCAGGCTGTGTCTCTGGCTGTAAACAGTTATAAGATCATTAATGACATAGCTGATGTAGAACATATTCTATACAAATCAAAAACATGACAGAATGTAGAACATGTTCTATACAAATCGAAAACATGGCAGAATGTAGAACATGTTCTATATAAGTTAGTTATAAATTCTTCCCAATAGTATATAAACACATAAATAAGAGATAGTCAAAATATTATCTAAATTTAAATGCAGTCATTCTGTGACTTACTCTTCATAAAAAAGCTCTGACGGTACATCAAAATTACTAAATTATTGTTGAAGACAGAATTAATGATTGTCCTCTTCTTTTGAATTTCTCACAGTTGGCAATTAAATCTGAAGTTAACTAAAGTGATCATTCTCAAAAGTCCATATAAACAATACAATTTCCAAGCAGAGCCAACATAGACCTTTGAAAACAGAGATGGGATCAGGTGCCATGGAGGAGTAAGCATCCCCTGCGGACCAGTCACACCCACCGTCTGCTCTTTGTCAGGATTGGGTAAATGGAAAATCCATAGACATTTCAGTGTGAAACTTATCGCAAAACAATTTGTAAGAAAGATGCAAGTTCAACATTCAACCTAATGACAGATTGTACTTGCAAATAAAGTCATTGCATCAAATTTGTGAAATGTTGACTTTTAAACAAGATTGTTGATATCCCTGAGATCATCAATTGTCAATAAACTGCCTCATTGTAGAAATTGCTCATTCTTAGAACATGTATCGAATCAACTAGGAGACATAAACTCCATGTCCAGGTGACAATGGTATACTGTTACATATGTAAGGGAAGATAATGATAGAAAACTTGAAGCCATCATGTTTATCATAAGGGTTAATTGTCAGTTTGCTTGTTTTGAGTTCAGTGACATATATCAAACAATGATCAAGTCAGCAACAGTTAATTAAATGATGAGCTGAAATGTTGATGGATTTCGTTGGCAACCCTTATCCCCACAAATAATAACATCAACATATTGGTTTATTGAATTTATTGAATCTTCATTACATGAGTTACCCACAAAATTACATCCCCAAGAACCAGTATATGGTCACCCAGGAAGGCATGAACATTGTCCCCCATAGATTAAAATAATTCCACATATTCTATCTGCTTCAAATACAGAAGAAGATGTCTGTATTCGTAACTGACCACTTACCTGTATGACACTGCGAGGTGAGTTGGAGACATACCACAAGGGAATCCCCAGGATACTCAGACGAGCCGTGTTTTTGTGGAATGTCTCAGAACACTTTGTACTGATAATACTTCCACCTATAAGACACCAGTGACTGTTACTGGCCCAAAGTTTGTCAATATTTATATGTAAAACATTTGAAAATGTATCACACTTTAGTTCTATAACAAATATCAAAGGACAAACTATGGTGGTATTTATTTAGTAGATCAGTACAGACCTGCAGATTCTAAAGCAAAATCAGGCAGGGCTATTTTGTCTGCACTGAACTTCTCCAAAGCTTCAGTCACTATCTGTCTCACAACCTGTATATAACAAAACATTATATCTTTAGTATTAAGAGAGGAAGTCACAATTCAAGTAAAAAGTTTTAAGGAACAGTGTTCTTTCAGAAAGTCAGTGTTCAAGTGTTATACTGCCAACATTTGTACTTTGGCTTATTGGCATTATAATAAGGGTGGCATTATAACCATAAGTGCTGTTTGGCAGGTGACTGCAGAATCAACTGATGTTTACTGTAATTAACATTCAATAAATTATTAATTACGGTTACCTTATAAAATACTTATTATTATTGATTGTTTATGAGGTTAAGCAGGTCAACATCATTGGAATATTTTGGCAACAGTGACGGTGGCAGTGCAATGGTGGCAATAGCCAGGGATTACTACATATCGTATAGCACATTATTTTAGCAAGGTGCTAATTTTGGCTTATTTTAGCATCTTGGGACCTGAACTCAAGATCAACAGGTAATGGTCATGACAGCTTCAGTAAAAGATAACATTTTATAATCATATAAATTATGCAAACATTTAATAGCATGCATGATGTCCAAGAGTATAGAAATTTTCTTTAAAACTCCATTGATTTTGATAGAGTTTGCCCCATTTCCTCAGGCCACATGGAGAAGCAACCATGAATTTCATAATTTTTAATTCTGACAGCAGTTTCAGATAAGAAAGTGAAAAATTTGAAAAGTTGACACTATACATGATGACAGGAATGGAAGGAATGAACAGACAGCAATAGGTCACCTGATGACTCTAAAAAGAGAGATATGATATTCCTGACCATTTAATCAGTCCCTCTACCTTTTCTGTCACCACACTCTGCCCCCCTGATTCTGATACATAGACCTCGGTGGCTTCCGTCCTTGACATTTCCTGTAGAATTTTATTGCTGAGCTCATCACCAAAATCTGCCATGTATTTCTCTAAGTCGCTTTTCTTGATAAATGTCGAGTTTAACCAAGCTCCAAACGTGTACTGGTCGGCACTGCCAGTATCATTCCCTGACATTATCTGTATAACAAAAAGATTAGATATTAGATGAGCAATAGGATTATAATGCAAATACTGAAATTCATCTCTGTAAATTTAAAACAAGCAACTTTAAGGACCCAAAACATCACAGCATAATAAATTTTCATGAAGGAAAAAGAAATTTACAGAATAATGAAACTTCTGCACTATCTTTAAAACAATTAAACCCGTCATCAGCTATACCATATTTCAAACAGTTGTCATAATGTAATGCTTCTTGTTAGTAAATGTTCCCTTTGTAATACTCAGGATAAAGTCAAGATAATTCCTACCTGACCCAGAATTAAATTGACCTTGTCCTGCACCAAGGCCATGTAGAAACTCTCATTCCTACAGCAGTTTTTGAGCTGTCCTGCTAACCAAGATTTCTCCAGTTCTAGGCTTTCTAGTCGAGCTCGCACTGAGGACAAATCGTCTTGTATCTGTAGAAGGCTAGCTGAGGCTTCCACTGTGGAATCACTACCCTCCATTGAAGGGCTAAAATTGAAAAACAAAAAAAACGCTGCTCATCTAACTTTCACGTACCATGGAAAAATCCAACATTTTACAATAAGCAAAATTCAAACCTTTTTATTCTCTCAAGTTCATCTGCCAATTTTTGCTCAAGATTCTGAAATGGAATTTGTATCTTTAATACAAAAGTACTTAACAACTAACTTAAATGGTATTTATTTTTCCTCACAAATTTACTGCAAATCAAAATTTTAAAAAGTTGATTCTATCTTAAGTCTTCCCTATTGTAAATGTTCAATTGCAAAAAACAGTAATAATAATAATAATAATAAAATTCCCATCAAAATGATAAGATTAAACAAAACTGGACTTACAGTGATACTTATTTTGAGATCATTCTGAATAGCCAGCATCACTTCACCATTCTCTGTCTTCTCCATCACCTTTTAAATGTCAAAACAATCCTTTATATTTTATAATTCGCTGTTATTTTTAAAGTAAAGTTGAAATTTATCTTTATGTTTTTCACTCTTGTTATGTTGAATCCTTGGATATCTTAAATTAATCTTGGTCCCGTTGAGTTTGAGATAACAAATTTTGACTGTATATGTTTTTGATCCTGTATTTCCCATCACGTCCTTAAGTCTGATGTGATTAACAAATACAGTAAACATACCTGTTTGTATATGCTTCAATTAATCCAAAATAAGTAACATGAATTTGTCCATTCAGTAAAACACATCTGATTTTTAAAATGTGCTCCAAGCAAGCCTATATGACTGACTTTTAATTTACCCTCTCAGTGACAGCTACCTATTTGTATATGGTACCAATAAGCCTGAATGACTTACCTGTGATTTTGCCTGCTCTGTAATGCGATCCTGTAGCCCCGTGACTTCATGCTTGACCATCTCCCCAACAATAGCCCTTATGTCCCCCTCTGTAAGGCTATCCCCCCTCACATTGAGGTACTGGAGGACCCTCAATATCTCCTCTGTGATGTTTGTTTTCTCTACCTGTCATACAAAGCCATTAGAAAATATTATAAAGTTATATAATTCATTAAATGAACATTGATAATATTACACTATCTTATCAGTATATTACACTAATACACTATATTATCAGAGATACATTTCCATAACTTTAATTGAAATAAATTAATTGGAATGAACATTAAACAAACTGCAACAGAAAGTTAGATCACAATCTAGGAACAAGACTGGAAACATGAACATACTAACTAAACACATAAATTTCAGCAACAACGATAACATGTTTTGAAAAAGTAACATCAACTTCCAATTCAAAATCGAAACTGAAAAAAAGGAAGTCAAACTTCATGCAGGCTTGACTACATACAAATTCTTGAGTTCTGTTTTTCTCTATCCACAGAGGTCTTGTATTACACTTTTTATTTCCAGAAGATTTATCTATTTCTGTTTTCATCCCTGATAGTGGAATATATCTACACTTTCTACGAAGGTTTAGAAGAATTTCTTTGTAGATATTTTTGCCAACAAATGGGTTGGGTGAATAAAAAGCAGCATTGGCTGTGTTAGAAGCTCCCATCCTACATTTAGATGACATTTCCTCTTTGTTGTGAAGTTCATGCCTTATGTGTCCTAACTCCTGCTCTGCTGTACATATTCCCAGATCATCTTCAGCTGGAACATCACAGAACATAGCAGCATCACCTGACTGATCTTCATCAAGAAATTCCTCACACATATCAAAATCTTCTTCTGAGTTGAATTCCGCACTAGATATTTGTTCCGAGTCAGTACTTTCTGTGATTATTTTATCAACATTTGATTGACATTTTTCTTCTGAATCAATACCTGCTTTAAGATTTTCATCTGCCTTTCTACCTTCTTCATATTTTCCTTTGGTGTTCACACTTGATTTAGATGTTTCTTCCTCTTCTCGACATTCTCCATATTTTCCTTTAGTGTTCACATTTGTTTTTTCTACCTCTTCTCCATTTGTTCCACATTTTCTTTCAGTGCTCAAACTCGTTTTATGTTTTTCTTCCTTTTCTTTTCTTTCTTCTCCACATTTTCCTTCAGTGTCCACATTTGTTTGGGGTTTTTCTTCTTCTTCTTCATATTTTCCTTCAGTGTCCACATTTGTTTGGGGTTTTTCTTCTTCTCCTCCACATTTTCCTTTAGTGTCCACATTTGTTTGGGGTTTTTCTTCTTCTCCATATTTTCCTTTAGTGTCCACATTTGTTTGGGGTTTTTCTTCTTCTTCATATTTTCCTTTAGTGTCCACATTTGTTTTGGGTTTTTCTTCTTTTCTTTTTTCACATTTTCCTTCAGTGTACACATTTGTTTGGGGTTTTTCTTCTTCTTCACATTTTCCTTCAGTCTCCACACTTGTTTGGGATTTTTCTCCATCTTCACATTTTCCTTCCGTGTCCTCATTTGTTTTGGGCTTCTCTTCTTCACTTTCCTCACATTTTTCTTCAGTGTCCTCACTTGTTTTGGGTTTTTCTCTTTCTTCACTTTCTTCATATTTTTCTTCAGTGTCCACACTTGGTTTAGGGTTTTCTTCTTCATTTCCTTCACATTTTCCTTCAATGTCCACTTTCAGCTTTGGTTTTTCTTCCTCTTCTCTACTTCTTTCACATTTTCCTTCAGTGTCTACACTTGGTTTGGGGTTTTCTTCCACCTTTTCATTTTTTTCACATTTTCCTTCAGTGTCCACATTTCCTTTTTGGTTTTCTTCCACCTCTCCACTTTCTGTAAATTTTTCTTCAGTGTCTACCCTAGGTTTTGGGTTTTCTTCCATCATTTCACTTTTTCCCCATTTTCCTATAGTATCCACATTTTGTTTGAATTTTTCTTCCTCTTCTCTATTTTCTGTACATTTTTCTACTGTGTCCAAACTTGGTATGGGTTTTTCTTCCTTTTCTCCAATTTTTACATATTTTCCTTCAGTATCCACACTTGGTTTGGGGTATTCTTCCACTTTTCCACTTTCTTCATATTTTCCTTCAGTGTCCACAATTGCTTTGGGTTTTTCTTTCACACCTCCACTTTCTTCAATTTTTTCCTCATTGCCTGCAGTTGGTTTTTCATCTGCTATTCCACTTCCTTTACATTTTATTTCCATGTCCACACTTGTTTTGGGCTTTTCCACTGGTTCTACATCTGGTCTAAACTTTTTTGTATCTACATCAATGCTTTGAATATAGTTATCTTCTGTGTCAATTTTTGGTTTACATTTTTTCTGTTTGTCAACACCTGGTTTATGTTTTTCCTGTAAGTCAATGCCTGGTTTACATTTTTCTTCTTTGGGAATGCTTGCTTCCTCTGTGTCAATGCTTGCTTTATATGCTTTCTCTGTGTCAATACTTGGTTTATATTTTTTCTTTGTGTCAAGGTTTGGTTTATAATCTTCCTCTCTGTCAGTGCTTGATTCATTTTTTTCCTCTGTGTCAATGCTTGTTTCATATATTTCCTCTGTGTCCATGCTTGGTTCATATGCTTCCTTTGTGTCCATGCTTGGTTCATATGTTTCCTCTGTGTCACTGCTTTGTTCATATGCTTCCTCTGTGTCACTGCTTTGTTCATATGCTTCCTCTGTGTCAGTGCTTGGTTTATTTTTTTCCTCTGTGTCAATGCTTTGGCTATATTTTTCCCCTTTGTCAATGTTTGGCTTACCCTTTCCTTCTGTGTTCAAGCTTGGCTTAGATGCATCCTCTGCTTTCATATTTGCTGTAGGCGTGTCCTCTGTGTCTCTGACTTTGTCTGCTTTTTGACCTTGTATACTACTTAATGCATCTCTAAGCTGTGTAAAATGTTATACATATTACAACATACAGTGCTACTTTTACTAAAAGCTGTTTAGTGCATTAACAAACTAGTGCATTACAAAATTAGTGCATGATGAATTGACTACATTTCTATGAGTTAGAAAATGCACTACACTAAAACAAATACTACCAGCTTCTTTCTGTTGTATCACTCACTTCCTGTTTAGCTGCCTCCTCCTCTAGCCAGCGATTCTGATTGGCTAGTTTTTCTTCATTCAATCTCTGTTCCACCATTGTGGATACAATTCTTTCTACTTCCCCAACAGAGAGAGATTCTTCTCGCCCCTCACTGATCTGTATGACTATCCTTCTCACGTGTTCCCTTAGTTCATGATGACTTAATCTGTCCATCTGATAAAATACACTTTTTCTCTTCAATTTGAAAATGAAAAAATCATTGTTTCCTCCTATATGAAAGCTTCAACTTCAACATGTGTATAAATTTACTTTTTAAAAAATAAATATATACATATTTGTAGTCTTTATAGAAGTCAAAATGTGATGACATCCTTGACATTTATAGTGATTTTCAGTGAATTTTATGTTACTGTATTCATATTGTGAAAATACAGTATAATCACAACTGGGTTTTTTTCTGTAAAATAATCAAAATAAAAGTATCCTTCATTGGGCAAAAACTAGTCAGTACCATGTACATTTCTTAGCAAGTAATTAGGTCTTTCCACCTTTCTGTGGAAAGACCTATTGAAATTGTTCTGTTTATTATTATTATTATTATTTTTATTATTTTTCCGCCGAATGGTTTTTTGTTTCAAAAGTTATCGAAAAGATTTATGGTCCATAAGAATGCACTTCGTAAAAGATTTTTATAGTTGACCTTGCGTATATGAACTTTGACCCCTCAAGGAGTTACAACCCCTTTCGCAATAAAAGCTTGTTATCGCTACTCCTTCGAAACCTTAAACCGTAGAGATACGAAACCTTCACTAATGTCTTTGACTAATTTAGAAGACTCTTCACTCTTTCATTGCGAAAGGATTCGTAAACCCCTTTTATGAGTTATTGCCCCTGAAAGTTTTTGGAGTTTGCGAATAGGTAAAAAAAAATGAAAGCGATTAATCATAGAGACATGGGACCAATGGAATTGGCATGTGTGACCTTTGACCTTGAAATTTATATAGAGGTCAAAGGTCAAGGTCATTCAAAATATGAGAAAATTAGCTTTTTTAATATCTCTTTTGTCTTTCAACATATACTGAATATCTTTGCATCTATAATATGTCCTTTGAAAACTTTTTCAAAGATTTCATTCTTGTCCCCCGAGCTTGACTCATTCAAAAGTTGTCACCCCTTTTGCAACAAAACTTTGTTATCGCTACTCCTCCAAAACCGTAAACTGTAGAGATTCCAAACCTTCATCAGTGTCTTTGACTCATTTAGTACTCTCTCCATTCTATCATTGCGAAAGCATTCTTTGGTCCCTTGTATGAGTTGCTGCCCCTGAAAGTTTACGCTACTTACATTTAATGAACTTTTTTTTTAAACGGTGTATCCTAGAGACATGGGACCAACTGCATCGGCATATTTGACCTTTGACCTTGAAATATAGGTCAAGGTCAAAGGTCAAGGTCATTTAAAAACATAAGAAATTCCTTATATATGTGTAAAATATAGCAATTCACCAAATGACCTTGAACTTTGACCTTGACCTTTGACCTTGACTTTGGGTCAAATGGAAAAGTAAGGACATGCATTCAGCTCCAGTATCAGGTAAAAACTTAGAAAGTAAAGATTTCTTTTCTTTTTCTTTTTTTTTTTGTAATGACCTTGACCTTTGACCTTGACCTTTGACCTTGACCCAAAGGTCACAATAAGGCTTAAGGATGTGGAAGTAGTTACAATTCTTAGTTTGAAGGAAGCATAAAATAAATAATTCATCCCCCCCCCTTTAAAAAAAAAAATCACATCAACAACAACGTAGAATATTACTCTAGAATTCAAACCAGACCTCGGATCGACACCAAATTTGGTACAAATGTAGTATAGACCTCAGAGAAACTTTCTGGAGAGTTTTACGGTGAGTCTTATAAGTTTATAGAAGTCATGAAGTTTCACGGCAAAAACTACAAGTTCTGTTGTGTTTGAAATTTAAGTGCAGGTGAACGAAGAAATGATCGAAACCCTTTATCGGCTATTTCTTCAGATGTCGTTAGAAGCATTCAATTCTCCTGATATGATACGACATTTTAATACCAAGCATTCTCTCTTTCTTTTACATTTGGAATTTATTTGATTTTTATTTAGAATTAATCAGTTTCCAGAAATAGCGATTTTCGGTATATTAAAAACAATTCTCGCTTTCATTGTCGTGTTTCCCTTCTAAAAATGCATGCTGGGAATTTAATTTGGGCTACACATATTTAATTAAACCCAAAGAAATGTTTATTTAAATGTTTCATATTTATTTCAGGATATTCAGTCAGAAATGTTAAAATCCGAACCCGATCTTTTAAGCTTACAAGGAAGCTATTTACAAAAAATTCAGCCTGCGCACAATATCGATGAATCGGGCTACAGTCCATTAATACATTTTCATTAGGGAACAGTGTTAACGTTTTCTCACGCAGCCCGTCCCTTATTATTTTATATACTGCTTGCAAATTCAGGAACTATTTCCTTTTACGGAACTTCTTTCTTCCCCTACCGATTCTAAAAATACGCTTGCATTTCTTCTATAGTCTTAAACAATTAACTTACCGATTTTATCGGAATGCGTAGCGCAGTGGTTAGCGCACCTGCCTTTCAAACCAAGGGTTTTGAGTTCGATCCCAGCTGGAGGAGCTTTTTTTTTTTTTTTTTTTTTTTTCTTTTTGCATTTATTGCATTTTTTTTCAGCCCATATGACACGGAAACGCTTAAAAAGGTGGAAAGACCTCTAATTGTTCTGTGAACAATTAGTTTACTAGTTCTCAGTAATGTTCTACTTTAAGAATATTTACAAAGTTTCACAGAAAATAAGGAAAGACATACCTTTGATAAATCCAGTACAGAATCATTATCCCTGATATCTGTGAAAGCTGCCGGTGTGATGTAAGGGTAAACTGGAAGGAAATGATAACTGTGTTATAAGGCATGAGGACCTAAATAAATACCAGGATAACTGTTTACTAAATGTCATACTCACAGAATGTAGACATAACACTGGCCATAGCCTACATTTATTGATCAAACATTTTCAGTAAAATTTGTAGATGTAAAATTAATTACATGGAAACTACATCTATTTATGGGTACAAGTAGCAAAGAAATTTTAAAACAAGGGACACTAGTGTTGTAGTTTGTTGTTCCTTTCCACATATCATCGCAGTTTTTTGTCAATGTGAGGATATAATGTACATGCATCATACCCTTGGACAGATTTTTATAGCTTAAACTTTATTCCATTGCAATTTCCATGGTTATTCATTGTGTTGTAATTTAGTTCATCTAATTACCATCCTAAAAATCCAATTAAAGAATTTCAGTCACTGATATGCAACAAATATCCAGGTAGGGATTCAGGCAACAATAATGGAGGGGTGAACTGTGTTAATGCTTAGTTGTATCACCTATACAAAATGAGGTACTCCAGAGTTAGGCCATCATTAAACTTTTTTGTTTGATGTACTCTGACCCACATTTTTGAAGGTGGGTATGTAGGTTCGGTATTTTAATCCTATTATTAATTATCTAACACATTAATAAACATCATAAAAATTACAAACTTAAAAAAATATTGATGCTTTCTTTATAACCAGACAGATAAATTTTATATTTACTGCTGTAAAAACTGTGTTTATATGCTGAGAAATTTTCTCTGAGTATATTTACTCAAGACCAAAGAGCAAGGTTCACTTTAGCCATAAAATGACCCTGTCAATATACAAATCAACTGACCACGTCCAAAAGTCCCATTTCAAACATCAACATAAAGTAGAGACTTAGTGCTTTCATTTCCTATGAAAAAGTTGTTGCTGAGAGTCCAGGCCCCAGGATCATGAAACAGTCTTAGACTTTGTAAGTCAAATATCCAATCAGCTGTAAAATGTTTATTAATTATTGAACTAATCTCTAAATTTGCAGGTAGCAACACTTTTGTGAAGCAATATTGAAAAATAATTTAATTTTTGTCTGCTTGATGTCTACAACATTTTATTACAACTGAAAGATTTTGACTAGAGCCTAAGATGTTTCATGATCCCGGGGCCAGGTATTGAAAGACAGGCTTTGTGAAATTGCAATGTTATTGAATTTTGAAGAAAATTGGTGTATTTGAGCACTTTCAACAGAGAACAAAAATATGAGCCCACCCCACAATCCAAAAAATAAAACATGGATTATAGTCTTCTGAAACAATACTTTCATTATACAATTAAACATTTTAGATCAGAGCTTGGGGTCTATGCAAATATTAGAAAACTGCTTAAATTTTTGGCAATTTTTGAAGAAATTTGAAGATTTGAAGATAAAGACGCAATTCATGACATCATAATATATGAACTAGTGAGAAAATTACGTCATTTTTAATAGATATGCAGTCACTAAGGATCCAAGCAAAATTTAATTTTTTTTCTACTAAAACTGAGCACTTTTAATTTTTCAGAAATTCACAGGGCCATAAAAGGCATTAAGTGAACCTTGTTTTTTGCTCCTGTGAGCAAAAGTGAATTTACCATGCGTTCTCCTTTGATTTTATTAACTGTGAGTAAATGCGTATGTTATCTATAAATTTCTCAATTTTTTATCATGATTTCCATAAAAATGGCCTACTACTGGAGAATTCTTTCATAGGTTTAAAGCATTAGGATTACAATATGATGCTTCATTGAGTATAAAATTAGACAAAACCCACAATCAAGCATTTAGTTCAAGATAATGCTCTAGTAAAATAAATGAACAATGGTTGGAGAATTTTAGAATAAAGAAAGAGATTGATCTCTTAATCCCTAAAAGGCTTACTGAAAAAGCTTTCTTGATCAAGAAATGCCATAAATGAACTGTATAGCAAACAATATTTGCTTTTGCATGAGTGAACAGATTTGCACCCGCCCCTGACTAGGTGCAAATATGCTTACAGGGGTATTTTATGCAAATATGTATAAAAGATCAGGGTGGAGGCGATTTTAATGGGTCAGCAAGGGTACATCAAATAGTTCATTTTTTAATTGTTGGTCTTATTATGAGTGGAATGTTTATGGTTTTACATATCTAAAACTACACTTAGATTACTTCAATAAAATCTATTAAGCAATTACTTCAAAGAGAAAAGAACTTTTTGAGGTAGCAATTTTTGAGCTGCTAAGGCTACATTAAATTGAAATTACAGTTCTCGGGCCTGCACACATCTGTTTCTAGGTAGCCGCATTGCAATTTTTAACGTATTTTCAATAAAATAAAAAGTTGGTAATGTGGAGACCAATCCAAGAAATAAAATCCCACACTTAATTTTTTTAATAAGTTTTGCACTTGATTTTCGTTTCTGCTAGCAATTTTGTGTAAATGTGGACAATGACAGCCATTCAAAATGGAAGCTGTGTTCATAAAAAATGAAAAAATGCATATATTTGGTAATTTTGTGTGATGTTAATTATATCCAAAGAATGACTCCAGTATATCTATGAAGGAAGAATTTTAATTGTTTTTTTTTAAATTCTGGAGAAAAAAAAAACGCTTTCCACATCTTACTTATCGCTGATAAAAAGGTAAAAAAAAAAAAAAAGCCTCCCACCTGCATCTGTTTTAAAGAAAATTGGCCTGAGAACTGTAATATCAATTTTATTTAGCCTAATTTTACTTGTAAATTCTTACTTGTAAACAATAACAATGGTAAAATCAGTAACAGTGGCAAGACAATACAGCACATCCGGGAGAAATAGGACATCCTGTAATGTATAAAAAACTTATTCTTACAATATATAGCTCCTCAGACAGAATTTCAAACCCTTCATTTAACTTTAAAACAAAGCATTTATATACGCTCATTTACAAATACAAAGAAATAATTCTAAAAGTGTATAATTAATCAGGTTAAAATTATTCAAACTATATACCTGTGTTATACTTCTACTTATTCTTTTACAGTTTTATGAAAACAGTTCAAAAAAGGACAGATAGATTATTACCTTGAGAAAAATCGTATTTCCCAGATAATCAATTGTACTAATACAGATTGAGCAGCTGATAGGGTTTTCTGTGTAGCAAAAGCACAACCATTAACAAGGTGTTGTAAAGTGGAGGTCCAGATGAGGTGAAACAACAACAGGAGGACCGAGGATAACACCTTGCTGGTCAGTGACCAGAGTGGTCGACACACATAGGTCCACACCGGCTTCCCCACACGATTCCACACCGGTCGTCCTACATGATTCCAGACTGGTTCTCCTATGTTGTTCCAGACTGGTTCAGCGACAGGCCTGGCTGCTGTTGAAATGGTTTCTGCAATGTTAGGATTATTCAGTAATATTCTTGAAGTAATATTCCTGTTTCAAATACTATCCATCTCCTATATTTCAAACTTGGATTATCCATTATAACTTCATATCTAAATATAAATTTTCACCTGTATTTCATTACTGATTTCAAAATGATATTTCCCATATAAGTTGCTTTTTTTAAAACCATGATTGCTTACTGCTGTTATAAAGCTTTAAATATTCTGTTAAGCTTACAGTAAATATATATCATGTCAAATACCTTTTAGCCAATAATGCCTACAATGTTTTTTCCTCATCACAATGCCAAGTTTTACCTTACCAATGATTGTGGTGATGACAGTGGTGGTGACGGTGGTGACCACCGATGATGAGGAATCTGATGTGGAGGTGCTGGTGGTGGTATCAGACTGGGAGTTCCTTGTGTGGCTCCTACTATGTGAAGAGTTTGAGTGGTAACCTGACATGTTGGTCCCTGGAAAATAAAATGTAGCATGTCAATCATCAACAAAATGTTCAACAAACATACCTACTGCAAAAAGCAAATATTTAACTTTCTGTGAAAAAGCAAACACAAATTTACAACTCTGTACATATTTTTTCTCCCCAAAAGAAATGTATAGTACATACCAGTAAACTCTACTTCAGATTCAATTCCTGCAACAACAAAAAATCAGACTAAACATACAAGTACATGTGATAAGTCAAAGACCACAAAGCTGTACAGGAGCCATAAAAAAACTGGAATTTGGGTGGAAAAAACTGTACACTGCCTATCAAAAAACGGTACAAAAAACGGCATAAATTATCACTTAAATTCTTCTGATAAGGCAACTTATTTCTAAACCAACAAATATATATTGTTGCAAATGTCTTATTTTAAAAGTTGTAATGGTGAATTGAATGCTTTAAAATTTCATATATTGTGTTTTATAATCACAATATTCTCATGAATCGACTACAAATTAAGCTAGTTTAGATGATAGTTTGTTTGCCAGCTTTATGTAGTCAATGTCTTCAATTCACATCTTGTTCATATTACTGATATGTACATCAGCAATGCTAAATAACAGCAGCAAATACAATCATACATAAATTTCAGCACATAAAAACTTAAAACTATATCCTTTATTTCATAATCATGGTAATAAACATCGTATATTTTATACCTACGGAGATCTGGGTCAGATTCATGTATATTAAGTCATGTAACTTTAGAAGTTGGCTTAATTTTTTTTCAATCAAGTTACGAACCATTAACAGTTATAATTAAGTACCCCTTTAAAAATAAAGCTACCTAAAGGGGTATCTTGATAAAGATTTATAGCAAGATAATTATCCCAATTGGCAGTTCACATCTTTACACGGGATGTCAAAAACAGGTGACATTTCCCAGTGTCTCGCGAGCGAGAATGAGAGGAAAATGGCGGCATTTAGCGAGAAATTCAAAATACTGTACAAATTTTCATATTCCGTGAATTTTGGTGTCCCGCCGGTACACAATAAATGGGCTCCAAAAAACGGTACATTTTGCGTACCGCCGGTACATATCACATGTATGAGTACATGTAGCACATGCTGTGCTTTCCATAGAACAATGTTTTTCAAAAAATAAACAATTGTAACAATTGTACATGTATAAACATTGCATTATTTAAATCTGCACATAATGTACTAATTTCCATACCTGACATTTCATCCGAGTCTACTTGATCCAAACCTGGAATAAAACAAATTAACTCTATAAATGAACACTTTCAAGCTTAGCAGTGCCTAAGTATTTTTTTTTTTTGTTTTTTTTTTTTGGCTAAAGACTAAAGTATGCACTGTATTTAGATTTACAAGAAATCAATTTCAACTGACCAAATGAAACTTTACCATATAACTTGATTTTTCTATTAGAGTTCTGGATTTCTTTCATTCCTTTCTCCATTTCCAAATTATTAAACTCTCCAATCAGAGTTTTCCTGACAGAGTCTATGAAGGATGACTTTGATGATGTCAGAGATGACACAGAGGCTGATGATGACCTTGTGGATGACCTTGTCTCTGACATCTGGTTAGTGCTGGTGACAAGATTGGAGGCCTGGGATCTCCGTGATCGTGATGTCCTTGTAGTGCTCCTGGATTGCCGGACATCGTCCATTGTGTTCAGGGACTGTAGTGATCTCCTAGACTCCCTAGCATTCTTGTTCATGTTCAAGCCCTGCAGTGATCTTCTGTTCTTCACATTTTGACTCTCTATCACAGTCCTCGCATTTTTTAAACTGTTGCCTGAACGAAGTAGAATTCCATCCTCATAAACTGTGAGAAACAAAAATGACATATTTAAAAATCCATTCAATTGTTAATCCCTTCATGTCTATTTTTCTCAAGACTTTTAAAAGTATAGAAACCTAAGTTATGAGGGTAGCTATCTTTCAAGCATGGAGAATAAAAATCAAAGAGGCTATTGTTTATGGAAGTCATTGACTCATTAAATGACATAACAGAATAGAACACAAGTTTCTATGTGAAGTAATAAATATAGCTGGTACTCTGCATAAATAAATTTAAATTTATACCAAATACATATCTTCAAACAAGTGCTATTTTAAATCAATCTTCCTCATTCTATTGCTTTAACTGTTTATTTGAAACTTTAAAAAATATTTTACATTTTTCAGTTGCACAGAACACATAGGACAAGTCTATGACTCTATGCTCTTTAATAACTACATGCAGAATGTACCGCTCACGTAAATGTGAAGGGGGGGGGGATTAAAACAACAGTTTTTACCTGCTGGAAGAGTTTACAAAAACATGCTCTCAGTAGATAATATCTGGTTTTAGTATTTATAAAAATTAAAAACTTTACTTTTTTTGTTATTCAATGTTGTTCATTATTACCAGTTGATTCTTTCAGGTAAAAAACTGCACTAAAAATAACTCATAAACTTTACAAAATTCCTTTAAATAGTTAGATCAACATGTGAGCAGGAAATACTAAATGACCCATTTGACAATGCTTATACTGGATGAACACATTACGTCCAAGTATAACCCTGTATAAACAGCTTTATGTGAAATACAAACCGTTAAATACTTACCAGTTCTGGTGGACAGTCTTTTTTCCATTACATAATTAATGTCCTCCTCATCTGAACTGACATATAAATCACCGCTCATGTAAGGAGTTACTTTCCCCTTCACATGTGCACGAGACATATTGGGGATTTGGTAATAAGAACTTTCTGCTTTTCTTCTATAACTAGGACTAAAGTAAAATGATATATATCAATCAACATGCAGTGTAGATATTTTACTTCACAGACATCTTAATCTTGTCAGAACTTAAAACCGGTGAAGCACATTAAACAACATCCAACTTGGAATAATTCATGTAATCAGTGAGCCATGAATAGAATGTATGGAGTTATTTACCTGTCTGACTAAACACCTCTAGTTTACATTAATTCCTATCTCCAGTCAAGCAATATATTCTTCCCCCACATCATAATCATACAACATTTCATACATGAAACTTAAAAACATCTGTCAGCATTAAAAAAGCTCAAAACCATTTAACTCCCACTCTAAATGACTTATTTCCTTTATCAAAACATTATTTCAATCACTTTGCACTTTCTTTCAAACGATAAGGAAAATGGAACAATTCCACATAAAAATCATACTTACAGCATGTTACACATGAGCAACTGAATCTTGATTTAGCAGTGTTTAGTACACATGATTAAACAAGATTAAACCCTCATATTTTGAGTTTATAATACATATTTACTGGAGACCTAAAATTCTTTTTGAAACAATTAGTGGGAGGTTCAAGTATCTGTATGCACACTAGCTGTTACAATAATACATGTATAAATACCACTTACCTCCGTGAATAAGTGTAATCTGTTTTGTTCATCCTGAAGAATTAAAATAAAGAGTTGTAAATAAAATAAAATCAAATAGCTTATAAAGGACACCTTATTTAGTGGCTATTCAGGGTATGTAAAGCCCACACTATACATGGCATATCTCCTGGCCATTATTAGCAGGTTTATATAACATTATGCCTAGGGTCACCTAGGAGAGTGAAGCCAAATGGTAACACTATTTAAGGTGGTATGGGATACCAAACGAAACTTCTCCTACATATTTATGTACCCAAATTAGAAGGATTTGAAATACCCCCACCTTTCAGTATATTAAAGTGTAATTTTAATAATTTTTTTATTATTTTAATGAGATATGCAAAAACGATTTTTTTTCTTGCATAATTCTTTTTTCATAAGCTTAATATTATAGGCAGGCGTTTGCTAATATAAAGTGTTTATAAAAACAAAAATGACAAGAAATATGTCTTAGTATTTTTTTAATTTTCAACAAAAAATAAGCGTAAAAAACTGGGAAAACTTTATTTCTTGAAAACAGACGGATAACATTTCATGAGAGTCTACAATAAGAATGTTTCTTAATATGTTAGCAAAGTGAAATAAACAAATTGAAAATATGTATATAAATGGAAAATATAAAATGCATTTAAAATTTTTTGAATTAAAAGATCCGAGCGGAAGAGTTATCCTTCTTTATTTTCCAAGGGTTGAAAAAACCAGGGTGCTATTTTAGAAATGATGAGCATTTTTTCCCAAACATAAAAAAATCGCACTTTGTAGTTTTCAACTTTGAGCGGTTTTGAAAACAATGCATGGACAATCGCTTTCCAGGACGTGTCTTGTTCAGAGCAATTGCATTCATCTGAACGTTTTGGGACTATATACAACAGCTAACTGATTTGTGACCAAACAGTTACTTCTTGAATTAAATAACAAAAAAGTCCAGCTCTGGTTAACGTGATAATTGATTGGTGATAATTCAGCACAATGTGAAGTAATCGCACTTATCCATGCCTCACCGCACACAAGGTGCTGTACAGTTACTCAAACAATTGAAATACAGCTTTTGCTTAAAAGTGTTCAAAAGCAGCAATGTTGAAACTACCTTTTACAGGGGTTTGCTTTTTTTAAATGTCCGTTGTACAATTATAAGTAAATTTATATACTTGCGATTTTTTTGTCTGTTTTTACTTAAAATGCCGACTTGTGAGAACTTGCATTGAAATAGGCTTCAGAGTGTTCTTTTCAACGGTGTATCTACAAATTTTGACCCGATAATAAGCACTCATGCAAATCAAAACAATACTTCAAACGGAAATACGTCATAACGTGGAGGTATCCCATACTACCTTAATAAACAATAAAATTTTAAAGACTATCATCCAAATAGCAACATATAAATTTTATAAAATTTCAATTCATGACTGAAAGTCATATCTTTAGCTCATTCAAATAAATGTAATTTGGATAGATTTGTGTTTCCATGTAGCATTTCATGTAAAATCAGAACATATACACTCACCAAATACATAAAACTTGCCAAATTACTTTGTGGCTTGCTTGCAGCATTTAAGGCCTTGTTTATTTTTCTTCTAGATAATTGCCTGTTATTTTTATTAACAAGCAAACCAGCCACACCTATTCTCACAGCCAGATCGACTGGGATAAACAAATCCAGCATCCAGCATGCCTCTCTGGGCACAAGGATTCTAACAATTTCTACACAAACAACTTTGGATATTTTCATGAAAAGAAAACTGAAATATCTTTCTACACATCTTTCTACATCTAAGGATTCTGAATCTTAACTATAGCAGAATTCCAATCTTTTTCCATTATTGTTAACTAATAAATACTTCTTTGTGAATGTGTTTGTAAACAATTTCTCTAGCAGTAGTTAATTGCTATGGTTGAAATACCTACTTGTCATTTAACCTCTAAAAATGACCTTGACCTTTTATGAAGCCTTGATTGATTGATTGTTGTTTTACCGTGAGAATTTTTCACTCATGGGAAACATCACCATACGAGTGAAGGGCTTCAAATCTAGACCTATATACTTGCCACCCAGTGCTGGGTTCTGTATAGTGCCATCGCCTACCATGACTCAAGACCTACCTTTTTTAGGTCACATCCAAAAGACCCACTGCTTTCTCTACTAATGTCTGGGGCTTGGCTAAGGAACAGTCACTACCTACTTAAATATCTTTAGATTTGACGTGGTGCTGGAAATGAGAATCGAACCCAGACCTCCCTGTCTACTTGATACAGGTAAAAATTTATAACCCTGGGCATTGTGGGAAAAACAGATGGAAAGGCCAACAGAAAAGTACATTAAATATGCTTTTTTCCTGCCACACCCCTTCTCCCCTCCTCGTAGTGGCATAAAAAGACACTTGCACATGATTCACAGGCATAAATATGTGAGATTTTATTAGTGCACATCTGTGGTGCAGTGACACTGATGCTCCAGTTAATATATGCTTTGTCGCCCCCAAACATAATTCAGCTTGTTAAAATAGTGGCTAGTTCCTTGATCTGATGTTAACACAACTGTAGACTAATTATTATTGATTCTTGTCTCTATGTCAGTGCTAACAGCTTTTACTAGATTAACATATATTCTTATCACACATTCTAAAAGGTTTTCTCTTCAGAAGCAATTAGCTTTATCCATGTTATCTACATGTAAGCACATCACTTCATATTTCATGGCAGAAAAGTCATAAGCTGTTGATGATGTCATACATATACAAATATTCCATAATGAATTCACGATGCATACTTTTAATTGTCTATAAGATTAATAACAAAAGCAAACATTCTTAAATGAAAGGAAGAGTAGTTTAGGTCATAAAAAATTAAAATCAAATGTTGGGTTATCTGAATTTCAGACAAAGTCTGAAACAACGTGTTGAAATTTCAACATCACTGATTATTCATATGTGACTGTGAGAAAACAAATGCACAGACATAAGGTGTTAGAAATAATAACAATATGTTTTGAAAATATCACATTATCAACTGATACCTTATTCTACAGATTAATCTTATCATTACTGTTAATTATTGACATAACCCAAAGAAATGGGCCAGGGACAGCATATTTTTTAAAAATACTAATCCTAAATACTTTATCACTCTTGAAGGAAAAAAAATTTAAAAGATTGGCTTCAAGTTTTCTAAATACTTGGTAAAGTTTTTTTGAAAAAAATCAGATTCATATATATGCATAAAAACAGTTGAGATTTTTAGATTTTAATAAAAATTCAAGATTTGGACTCATTTTACGTTGACCAACCCAAGTTGGTATACTAATATAATAAGTGTATAAACATTTCTCTACAATGGTATGACATCCCTACATCCTTCTGTAGGTTGTAGCACTTCACTCTCTGAATTTTAAGTGTAAGAAAGTCTGTTAACAAATCTGGGTATATTAATAAGGTTGTTTGTTAATGTATAGACTTGAAAAAATATATCTTTTGGAACTGCCATGCAACTGTTGACATGCATTAAAATTTCAAACTCAAGTCAATTGAACATGAACACTCACAACAAACCAAAAATCTGAAAAACATAATATTGTCAGGTACATAAATTCTCAATTAAATAACAACGAGGTTTGTGTAAGAGTTTAAACTAAGAACCACAACTCATCGAGCCTTCATCAGGGGGATGATTTGGTTCAACAATATATGAAGAAAAAATTAATGGACTTTAGACACTAGATAAAATGATTCCCGTTTGATACATCTAACACAATGGATAAACTTTACAATTATAATCAACTTCACAACTACCATTTCATATGTTCAAACAAAAGGTGAATAATGATGCCAATACATCATAATCTAAAACCATTTAGAGTTTATATGAATTTGACATTTATGCTACGCAATGATTACAGTGTCAAAAAGAAAAATACAGTCTGAACAAGTTATTCCCAAAACTCAATGCAAATAGGACAAAGCTTACAATATATACCAAACAATTTTATACATGTATACTGTTCTTTTTGTGTAGATAATAAATACAACATGGTAATAATTTATGATTAACTCACTGAATATGCTGATGCATTCAACTAATTACTATTTGTACCTCATCTCTGTTGAACAGTCCAGAGAGTAAAGAGCATGCAAAGAAAATAATTCTTACATGTATGCAATCAATACTAAATCCCTAAAGCTGTCTTCCAATGAAATTAAACATCCATTATTAAATCAGTACTTACTTTCTGAAATAATCATCTTCAAGAAAATCAGTGGAAACTGAGTGCACTGTTCTATTGTAGTGGTATGTCTTAGTTTTCTTCTTTTTTGATCTGGCAAAAAGTGAAAACTGTGTTAGGCCATTAGAAGTGAAAAATATGTTTACTATTACATGCCCATTAAAAAAAGGGTTGGCGGGTAGGATTTTGTTTTTATTTTTTAATTTATAGTTTGACCTCTTCTTGCCATAACATCTTTTTTTCCCAAATCTACCCAACAGCTCCAAAAACAGCTATTAAGTGACCTCACTACCCATAAACCATTACAGTTGAAGGAAAATATACAGACACGCCATATTCCAGATTTCACATTGAAAAAAAATATATTTGAGTCTGCACATAAATAAGGGTCAGTTGGGTAAACGTAAACAAACATATTTTTTTCTTAGGCCTGAATTAGTCAATACAATCAAAAAAAAGATCTGTAAATTTCCCCGGTTGATTTTTTTACCCCCTCCCCCCAACAAAAAAAAAACACTCAGAGTAGTTACAACTTGTTTAGGTCAGAACTATTAACAACATTTTTCTTTTCGAATTAATAATTCATTTCATTTTAAACAATTTGTGCATATGAGCTCGGCAAGTGCATTTACTGAAAAACCTAAAACAACGTCACATGGACTAAATGTGTTGTCCACTGTATAAATTAACAGACAAAAATGCTGAATATTTATGCTCAGATTGATAAACATTCTTTATAAACAATAAACAAATGAATATTTATGATTGTGATCACCTTTTGAACTCTATATAGTTCATGTATACTAGCAGCTATCTTGAAATAGCTAGTTCACATACTGTGAGGCAATAACTTAAGGGGAGTGCACTGTGTCATAATACACTGTAGTATGTGCAGAAAATGCTTTTCATATTCTTATTACAACTGCAGCCCTAAAATATTTTATGCATGTAAATTCCCTTTCCAGCAAATGACATGGCTCTTTACACAATGATTTGAAAGTGTTGTGCTGGTTATTTCACATGCTTGCAGTAATTTTGCTGAATATAGATGCATTCTTCAGGCATAATGAGAAATTGCATGTATTATCGTGATTAACTGTAGTAAAAAGAAATCAATCAACTATTGTTTATGGTGCCCTAGTACTTAGCAAAAGTATTATACGTTTGAAATAAGAAAGATCAAACATAAAGGAACAAACAGTGAGAATCCATAATCGGTTTGGGTATGACAAACTAATAACACTATTCAGGACAAGCTGCAAGTAACATATAACAAATCCGAGTGTTCATACCGTTATGAATCGTTTATGATTCATTACCCTTTTTAATCTGCAAACAATTCCAAACTTTGAAAGCAAATGAAGCAGCAGTAACAGATGCACTGTAACTCAATTTAAAGGACTATACAGATATAGACCATCTTTACTTGGTATACTTACTTTTGCACTTTCTCGATTCGCATTATGAAAGACTTTTCCGTTAATCAGACATCAATGGTGCATCCAATGTATACATAGAATTTCTTCGTGTATCAAAATATATATATTATGCAAAGTAAGAATTGGGTAAAATAAACATAAACATTGAAAGTAAACCAGAGTACTTCGGCATCGAACTCTGTCTTTCCGTGCATCAAATTCCCAGATGAGTCGACATTTTTGATTGGTCGATGTGTTACACTGTAAACAAAAGGGCTGGGCAGACAAGGTGCGGATCAAACTGTTTATCGAAAGGTTGCAATAGTAACGGGCAGGTTTCATAAAAAAAATATATACACACATATCTTACATTCCCCAATTACCAATGGTTTTTTTGTTGGGTTTTTTTTGTTTTGTTTTTTTTTACACTTAGCTTACTTTACTTTTAGGCTTCTTACTTTACTTGCATATTTTTCCTAATGATTTGGTCAAAATAAAGAAAAATAAACCAAAAAAATTAATAATCCTTCAAGATAATATACCTCTCTTGATTTCATTGAGCTACCTGTGCTGGTGTTTAAATGACTCATTTAAAACACCACATATTTTTCGCCAAAACGACAGCAGAAGTTCATAAACTGCGCAACGGATAACTCCAAAACGAGATAAAATAACGAATGAATCTCGTGTTCCACAAATCCGGATTGCATTTTATCAGAGTGTTTATGGCATAATACATGCATATATTTATGTATATATGTATACAGTGTAAAAATGTTTTCTTTATATAAATATAAAAACTCGGATAGATCTGTACTGTCGGATGCCTTTCAAACCAATATAAAATTCTTTTCCAGATTCCGAAAATCAGCTTTCAAGTATTTGAAAATGCTCACAAAAATGTCTTTGATTTCACAAAGTAACATAAATTTACCCATGGTATTTCTTCAAAGTTTATCATTATAGTTAATTATATATTATATATAGGGAAAATTATCACTGACAGATATATTTTCAGGAAACGCGAATAATAGCACAAGTTATGCATGTTCTAATTGAAAATTAATCCACAAATATATTTTAGGATAAAAAGATATAGGTATCCAGGGATTCGGGGAAAATTGCATCTTTTTTGTGCTTATATACATGTATTTTAGTTCTATTTACTTCAATTGTTATATAATATGCTATCATTACTAGACATCACATATCACATCTAATTTCATATCATGCTAATTCACATTGGTATCTAATGCTTGTTTAAACAGAAAGGAAGTTCGATTTCTCTGAAATGAATTTTTTTTTTCTTTTATGGGGTATATAAATGTCACCTTTACTAAGACCGTTTGTACAAGAACCTTGAATCATATTGAGATGCAGAAAAACAAAATTGTTGCATGGAAAGATTTCAATTTCAAGCTTCATTTTGAGACTTTTTTAATTTAAATAATAAATTTAATAGTTACATGCGATCCTTCATGGCTGAGGAGCGGATATCCTTATACTCAGGTTCTGAAAATCAGCTTTTAAGTAATTGAAAATGCTCACAAAAAGTCTCTGATTTCACACAGTAACGTGAATTAACCCATGGAATTTCTTCAAAGTTCATCGTTATAGTTGGTCATATTATATAGGGAAAATTATCAAATCTCAAATATATTTTCAGGAAATGCGAATAAAAACACCAGCTATGCATTTTCTAATTGAAAATTGATCAACAAATATAATTTAGGGTATCCAGGCGTTTAGAGAAAATTGCATCTTTTTTATTCTTATACACTATATTAGTTCTTCTTTTTACTTCGTCATTTAATACATAGTGTAAAAAGCTTGTGCTATCATTGCTAGACATCACATATCACATCTAATTTCATTTCATGCTAATAAGCAGCGGTATCTAATGCTAGACTAAAGGAAATTCGATTTCTCTAAAAAATGAATTCATTTTTTTCTTTTATGGGGTACAAAAGTCAACTTTTTACAAGACCGTTTCTAGGACTTCAGAGAACCTTGAATCATATTAAGATGCATAAAATGAAAATTGTTGCACAAAAAGATCTAAATTTCAAGCTTTATTTTGAGACTTTTTAAATAAAATAACAAATTTAAGAGTTATCCTTCCTGGCTGAGGATCGGATATCCTTAATATTTTAAACAATATTTATTCAAAATAATGAATAGACTGGGCAACAGGCAATGTATATAAATACCCTCTCTATACAAGAATCAAAGTTACAAAATAGTTACACAATGGACTGAGTGAATACATATATTACAATGCGGGTAAACACACACAGACGCATATACAGAAACACACACACACACACGTAGACACACCCAAACAAGCACACACAGACTCGCACAGATCCAGATGAATTAAGCATAACACATAGTATTAATAAAATATAGTAATATATATATATATATATATATATATATATATATATATATATATATATATATATATATATATATATATATATATATATATATATATATATATATATATATATATATCAAAAGGAAATGTATTTAAAAACGTTTTGTTGACCTAATATATTCTTGTACATAATTTGTAATGTTGATGTTCGTTTGATACGATAACTTCGAACACCCATGTAAAAGAATCTTTAGTTCATACGGTATACCTAGCTCTTGTAAATTTTTTCTTAGTTCATTTCTTTGTATGCTATAAGCTGGACAATTCATTTATAAAATAGTGCTCATTATCCTCATTATGGTAATCACACCTAGGACAAGATGAATCAGCTATTATATAATGATTTTTTAAGTGTGCATTAAGGTTACTAGCTTTATTGCGTAATTGACAGTGAAGTATATTCTCTTTTCTGTTACCATAGTTATAATATTTACAACTGCTAAATGGTCGTTCAGTTTTTATTTTTGAATTAAACATTGATAAAGAAGGTGACATTTTTACAACAGAGCTAAGATTATTCCACAGTTTTATAGTTGAAGGAATAAAACTATTATAGTAAGATACAGTTCTACATAATGGTAGAGAAAGATTACTTCTGTCTGATCTCAAACTATAAGAATGCTGCACTGGTTGGAAAGACTGTAATAATTCGCATAGATAATATGGGGCAATACCATGGTCAATTTTATAAAATAATATGTTCATGATTTATTCTTCTCTGGTGTAATGGCTCCCAACCTAGTTCGTCGTATAGAATAGATCTTGAAGAATTTACCCTTAGACCAGAAATAATTCTTGCAGTTTCTACTTGGACCTTTTCTAACAATTCTGTATTTTCCTGAGAGCAGTCATCCCATACTGTACCACATCTGCGTATTCTAAGACAGGTCTAATGAAAGCAAGATATATCTTTATTAGGGAATTTCTATCAAGTGTGTGCTTTAGTAATCTCAAAATATTTAATTTGTTACAAGCTTTTTCGTTAAATATATGTTTATTCCAACTACCATCGGACTGAAGGTGAAGCCCTAAATGTATATGACTACTGGATGGTTCAATAATGTCCCCATTTTCTCCAAAATGAATGTCTGGAAAAAGTCGCTGCTTTCTTGTAAAATTAACATTGGTTTATCAGTGTTAAAATCTACAGCCCAAGAGTTTGACCATTTCTTTATTTTTTTCAAGATCGGCTGTAAGAGATAATGTAGGAGTCATAATACAGGGTTCGAAATTCACTATATACAACTCGCAAAACGCGAGTTAGAATTCCCAAATTGCGAGTTAAAAATTAGGTAACTCGCAAAAACTTGCGAGTTGATTTTTTTTGCATTGAAACTGTAGCAAAATTATATAATATGACAGAACACAATGCTTTTGATTTAAATCAGTAATTTAAATAAAAGCCACACTGTAGTTGTATTTTGTGTATTGTACAGTAGTTACTTTTTCCTCATTGACAAGTTACATGTATTTAATTTATATAAATTTAACCTTATATGAAAATTGCGAGTAGTCTTATAAAATTGCGAGTTCACTTTCTTGGTACTCGCAATTATTTGCGAGTTGTAATTTTAGGGAGTTTCTTACCCTGATAATATCAGCGTCTACTATAGTAAACAAAAATGTATCATCCGCAAATAAACGGATACCATTATGTATGCCTTCGGTTATATCATTAATGTATAATAAGAATAAAAATGGGCCTAGCACAGTGTGGTTAATCAGCAAATATTCGGATTCACCGGTGCTTTCTAATAAAAGATTTTTTTCTTTTCATTTTGACAATGTTTTCTTTAGAAAATAAATAATCTGTCCTCCAAAATTTGAAAATAAATAATCTGTCCTCCAAAATTTTGAAAATAAATAATCTGTCCTCGACTGGCAAGAAAATAAATAATCTGTCCTTGATTGGTGCTCCTCCCCTGGAAACTAAAAGCTTAGAACGTGCAATTTTCCTTCTTTTTTTTTTTTTTTTTTTTTTTTTTTTTTTTTTTTTTAATTTTGCTTGTCAGACTTTTTTCATTGAAGAAATAATCTGTCCTCGTTCATCTTGTTTGCTTTGGAAAAACATCTCTCCGAGATGTATACATGTAGTTATATTCCAATATCACCTGCATATGGTGTTTATGTCTCCAAACTTATTCAATACTAAAGAGCATGCTCCGAGTACGATCAATTTTTGGAAATAAATAAAATGTCCTTCACCTACATGCCATTAAATAATCTGACTCGGAAAAATTTGGCACCCCCCCCCCCTTTTCCAGAATCAAATGGTCGTCCCCTTGTTCGTTACAGACCGGATTATTCATAATTTATTAAGTTTTTTACAGTCGTTAAAATTATGATTATTTTAAGGAATCTTTCAACAAGGTAGCAAATAACATTTAGCACCCAACTTTACAAGTTTTACTAGCCTACATTGATATACTGGGGCCCACAGGCACTTGGGGTATGGACCCCCCCCACCCCCACCCCCTATTCCATATTTTTTTTTATATCTGGGGTTGAGTAACCTTTTCCCTATTTTTGTATTCTAATATGCACTATATGTTATCGATAATGTAACCCTTTTGTCTCTATAAGCTGTTTTTAAATATATCGTTTTCGACTGATACTCTCTTTTTTATAAAATCAGTCAAAACATATTAGAATACAAAATGCATATTAGAATACAAAAATAGGGAAAGGGTGACTCGACCCCAGTTTTAAAAAAAATGGAAAAGGGGTGGGGGGTCCATACCCCAAGTGCCTGTGCTGGGTCCCACATTTTTCTCTTTGCTTTGGAAAAACATCTCTCCGAGATGTATACATGTCGTTATATTCCAATATCACCTGCATATGGTGTTTATGTCTCCAAACTTATTCAATACTAAAGAGCATGCTCCGAGTACAATCAATTTTTAAACCAAGTCAAGCTATTGACAGATAAGTTGATGTTACAGTGATTTCAATAACGACATTTAAAGCTAGCATTTCATAAATTCTATGGTCATTATAACGACCTTTTTAAAAAATACATGTACAACGTATAAATCTACCATTGGGTGTATTTTGACCGACATATTTCATACAAATTGTTAGGCCTTTGTTTTCATAGTAAACTTTATATTCCGTCTTCCTGATCAATTCAAAGGGCTCACAGAAGGTGTGACCAGTCAACAGGGGATGCTTACTCCTCCTAGACACCAGATCCCACCTCTAGAATTTCCAAGGGTCCAAGATTTATGCCCTATTCACAGATTTGTATTGTTTATAGGATTTTTTGAAATAGATCACTGTTCATTATTTTCACCTTTTTCATTTGTTTTCTCTATATGGTATTTTTGGCCATAGAAAGTTTTTATCGGAAAATTTTTAAAAGCGCAAAAAATACATGTATTCCAAACATTGAATGTTAAAGCATCATAAACATCAACAAGTAGAGGCATATATAAGGCATTCTACATGCAAAAAAAAATCTACAAATGTAAACATTTGTAATTTATTTTACTTTTTAGACAAATTTGCACTTAGCATATGTACATAATTTGAATTTTTTGGTCAGATCTTTACATTCTATTTTCAGCACTTCTTCCACACCAACTACCTTGTATTTTCTTCTCACACTTAAGTAATTACAACATCAAAGAAAGACAAGAAAGCTGACAAAATCATACAGGACCCCATAGTATGCTTATACATGTATTGATAATCTTGATCTTTGAGTAATTGGCCACAGAATATACAGGGCTTTCTTTTAATTGTGAAGTGAATACGAAATCTGCACAATAAATTTACTCAATTTTATACTGCACAATAAATTTACTCAATTTTATACTACATTGTATATAATTGAATGTTCATGTGAAAATAATGACATTGAACTTTGAGTGAACTAGCCCCGAATCTAAATATTTGTCCCCTTAACTTTGTTCATTGATTGGTGAAAATCTGACCAAATATAGTACTGATTTCAATGCAGTGGATCCTTTAAAAAACTTAAGGCCATATCAATAGTCTTGACCCTTTGGCCTTGACCTTTATCAAAGAAACCTTTATCTACATGTACCATTAAGTCATGCATGTATAAAAGCTACTTTTTTGATAGAAAATAGTTCAAATGTAGGAGGTGCATACTTTACACTGGTGCATGATATACACTTGACTTTATGGTATGTAGTAAAAAATCTTAAGTTCAGCATAGTGGTCATTTAAACAATCCTGGTCTTTGACCTTTGACTATATGATTCTAAAATCTATAAATGTCTTTTCCAAAGCATTCCCTTTCCATTTTTTAGTAGTTGATATAAGGTCTTGGGACAGACCATGGTGATTAATTTAGGGAACCTGCATCTTAATGCGGGTCCCCAATAAATAACAACCCCCCAGTATAAGACAGTCATTGGCTTTCTTGATTTAGGACTTGGCTACTCTAAGCATTTCTGAGATATCTGCAATCTTCTCCCTTGGTTTTCCAAAGACACTTCCTCTCTTGATCTCTTCCTCATCAATCTTGTCCCAGTCAGAAAATGTCACCATCTGCTTACCTGCACAGCATTATAACAAGTTTGTTCAGAAATCAAATTCTTGTACATATCAGTCCTCTAATATATTTACCACATACCTTGACCTTCTTAAAGATCTTATATATTTTCATTTTTTGTTTATAAAACATATGCTTAACAGCAACCTTTAGATTCTAGGATTTCCTTGATCATTTTATTCCCCCTTTTTCCCTCAGAAGTGATGATACCGTCTTCCAGATCTTTGAGAACTATCTTTCCTGTTTCAAATCCCCCTGTCATGGTATTGAGGATGACTCCTACTGGCCCTGTACTGACCCATCCACTACAGTACAGACCTAAATCAATCAAGATAAGGATATTTCCACTACAGTACAGACCTAAACCAATCAAATTATGAATGATTAATTTTTGACATCAGATGAAATCATAACATTATACTAATGTAGTTCAGAATTAAAATACTTTTGCATCTTGCTGTTTCAGACCATTTAGCTTAACTTTTATACATAGTAAAAGTTTTACATGTTTTTGAAAATTGGAATCATATGGTTTTAAGTGTAACTTTAGACTTATCTGGATTAAATTTAGAATTACTTACCTGAATGACCTTTAGAATTACTTACCTGAATGACCTTTAGAATTACTTATCTGAATGACCTTTAGAATTACTTACCTGATTTACCTTTAGAATTACTTACCTGATTTTTCTTTGACTCTTCCTTTTATATTTGGTATAATCCCTTTTCTTGTATCAAAAGGTAAAATGGGATCTATAGGTATACTTTTATATCCTATACTTCTGAAAACCTGTGATCAAATTCAGAGGATAAACTTCAAACAAAGCCATCTCCAATACAAACCACTTGTCATTCTCTAATAGATACCTATAATTCATTTATAGTCATTGCTGTAGAGAAATCCATACCAGTCCACAGTCAATATGTTCTGTTTCTGATGTGGCCACAGCTTTCTTGTTAATCAGATCATCTCCCTAAATAATCATACAAAATAATAATTGAAAAAAGACAAAAATGAAGTCTCACTTATTTGCTATCATACTCATTCTCCTGTGTTATATATGTGTGTACTTAAATCATTAGGTTTATATGTTGATGCTTGTTGTGTAGGTATGTACCAATTAGACTGAAATGCTCACATGAATCTGCTAAATCACATTCTTAATATTATACATATGTACTTAAATAAGCTAGGTTCAGGTTCTGATGTTTTTTTTTTTGTTTTTGTTTTTGTTTTTGTTTTTTTTGTTTTTTTTCATGCTATACATATCAAGTTTGAAACATTGTACAACTATTTCATGACTGTACAAAATGTCTATGGCCTAAAAATATGTTTCACTTAATTTAAAACTTTAAAACAGATGGGTTTGATCACAGGCACAGTGGCCAAATAGCTCAGTTGGTAGAGCACCTGACTAGATTCAGGGGGCCTGGGTTCGAATCCCTGTCTGGTCCTTTGAAATTTTCTCCTCTCCCTTTACATTTGGTGCTGTGACCAGGATGTGGATGTCACAGGTGAAAGACCTGCCAGGGAAGAGTCTGGGTTGGTGTCTTCAGGGGTGAAGACCTTTAAGGAGGGAGGAATGTGGCGGTCAGACGGGTTTGATTGCCGCTAGCCAGATAGCTCAGTTGGTAGAGCACCTGACTAGAGATTCAGGGAGCCCAGGTTCAAATCCTGGTCAGGTCCATCTCATTTTTCTCCTCTTCCGTTACAAAACAATGTACATATACAGTTATCAGAACTCTGTCATTGTTTTTAATCCCGAGAATAAAATTCTTTCAAGATAAATTACCAAGTATTCTCAAAAACTGTATTTGAACCAAACTGAAACTTGTTACATACAGTAAAACACGCTTATAACAAAGTGCTGGGTCAGACGATTTTGCTTCGTTATAAACGTAATTCATTATATCCGTTAAGTTAACAATATATTTTAAGGTCACACAGAATGAAAATCTCTTTGCTGTAAGCGTCAATTCATTTCAAGCGTGTTCGCTCTAAGTGTGTTTTAATTTCCTAGTCAAAAATAAAGCTACATGGTTCTTGCAATGCACATGTACATGCATATTTAAAAAAATTCCGAATCTGATTAAAATCAGATCTTTGTTAAGCTCGGAAATTCTGATAGTCGCTGTACAGCGTAACAAAGATCTGATTTTAATCAGATTGAAAAATTCCCACCTGCAGCTGATTCACAGCGAATTTGACCCCTGTGACTTTTCCCTCCCTCTCGTTGATTTCTATAGGACTAAGTCTAAATCTAAGTTCCCATTCTTTGGAGGCCTGAGACCAGAGGTGGGTGTCAGTGTCGGAGGGCTCCATACACGTCTTATATAGTAGTTCTGTCAGCCTCCTTCTGGGACGGGGGAGATCTTAAAAGATAAAAAGGTCATTTCCAAGAAAAAGAGAATACATGTACTAATGATAACTTTGTAATAAGAGAAACACTGAAAGCCCATACTTGACACAGAGATTGCTTACAACCTGCGTATGTTTCTTGACCTTAACACAAGGACATTTGGGCAACTTCAAGGTCTCTGACAAAAGTAAAAGTCAAATAGACCTGGACTTGCAACTTTTCTTTTAAGTTTTACATATCAATAATTATCATGAATACCTAAACATGCTATATATATATATATATATATATATATATATATATATATATATATATATATATATATATATATATGTATGTATGTATATATATATATATATATCAACATTGATGTCATGATAATGATATTTAAACTGTAGGAGGAGTAGCATTTTAAAGAAAAATTATTTACAGACAGATTGTGGACACCATTCCCTTGCATAGAATTTGCAGGTCTTCAACCAGTAGAACTTATGTAATTATTCCTCTTTTACAGTTTTTTAGCTCACCTGAGCCGAAGGCTCAAGTGAGCTTTTCTGATTGAAATTTGTCCATTGTCTGTCGTCGTCGTTCAATTTCAATCAAACTTGGCACAAAGTATCCTTGAGTGAAGGGGATTCAAGTTTGTTCAAATGAAGGGCCACGCCCTCCTCCAAGGGGAGATAATTACGAAATGGCAAAAAATTAATGGCATTATTGAAAAATCTTATTCTCAAGAACCAATGGGCCAGGAAAGATGAAACTCATGTGGAATTATTGTCAGGTAGTGTAGATTCAAATTTGTTCAAATCATGACCCAGGGGGGTAGGGTGGGGCCACAATGGACGATCAAAGTTTTACATAGGGATATATAGGAAAAATCTTCAAAAATCTTCTTCTCAAGAACAGTTAAGCTATGATTGGTCATATTTATATGGAAGCATCCTCAGGTGATGTGGGTTCAAGTTTGTTCAAATCATGACCCCCGGGGGTAGGGTGGGGCCACAATGGACAAAGTTTAACATAGGTGTATATAGGAAAAATCTTCAAAAATCTTCTTCTCAGGAACAGCAAAGCTATGATTGGTCATATTTATATGGAAGCATCCTCAGGTGATGTGGGTTCAAGTTTGTTCAAATCATGACCCCCGGGGGTAGGGTGGGGCCACAATGGAAGATTAAAGTTTAACATAGGAGTATATAGGAAAAATATTCTTCTCAAGAACAGCAAACTTATGATTGGTCATATTTATTTGGAAGCATCCTCAGGTGGTGTAGATTCAAGTTTGTTCAAATCATGACCTCCAGGGGTAGGGTGGGGCCACAATGAAAGTTCAAACTTGTAGAGAAAAAAGTCACAGTTAGTCAAAAAATCATGTAAGCATCCTTAGTTAGTGTAGATTTAATTTTGTTCAAATCATACCCCCCACTCCCTTTTAGGGGTAGGTTGGGACCACTTATGCATTTAAGCTTTTCAATACTAAACTGATTTTTCTTCTTTTCCTAGCCACAGTGCTCAGGTGAGCGATGTGGCCCCTGGGCCTCTTGTTATATTTGCTTTACAATCCTGTACCTAGTTGCATTTATAATTCCATGAATGCAATTGCTCTAAGTGTATGTACAGGTTGTGTCTAACTCTCATATTTAGAAATCTGCTATATAATACCAATTCCATTCAGTTATATAGGTAGGAAACATAGTGAAAATGAGTAAGTTGTAGCTTATAATAAAAATCTCCCCAAAAATTTAAAATACAAAATGATGATTTAACCATTATTTTAAAACTTTTTAAAATTAACTCTAAGCAACATTCAAAATTGTGCAATAAAAAAATCTCCAAATACATCACATGTATCTTCATACGCATGTGAGTTAAGACTAGGTATAGGCGTTTCTATGCAAATGAGCTAATAAAAATGTGTTAGGGGTATATTCATTATTCAAAGAATGTTTTGTTTTATTTTTTATGCATACTTAGTACCCACGATATGTTATAGCCAGTACGCATTATGACGTCATATTATGACGTCATTGATCTCACCTACTGGAGGTAATACATGTATAACAATCAACATAACAGCTTTGGCGCAAGGGATTACCCTGTTTATTTTTACATAAAAATTGTATAATGCTAAGAAGAATATTCTATAGATTAATAAAACTGCTGCACAAATCCTAGGCATTTCCTAAGTTGATCGGAATTTGAGTAAACTTATACCGGACTGTACATTTTTACCCCGATTCAACTTAAAACTTTACAAATAGGAATTACACAACTGAGCTGTTGATATTTGTGCAGCAATACCAGCAAATATTAGAATATTTTGCTTCTAAATATACCTTGTTTCAGTTAAATAAAATAGAGCATGCCCTTGCGCCGACGCATTTTTGTTGATATCCATTATAATCTTGTGTAGTAAAGAACAATGACGTCATAATATGACGTCATAATGCGTACTGGCTATCTAATGTCATGGATACCAAGTATGTATTAGACAATAAGTTTTAACTTTCTCTGTAAAATAGATATAGTCTTTAGGCATTTTAATTAGTTTATTTACATAGAAATGCCTATACCTAGCTTTAACTCACCTGCGTAAAGGTATATTTAGTTCCCACTTGGTGAAATGACATCACAGTTAGCTTTATGATGTGAACTTTACAATGTTTTCTTAATATTTGTATTTCAAAATTTATTTGAGCTCCATAAATGAAAAAAAACAATCATATAAAAACATTAAAAAAAATTGTTTTGCTATAATTATCTGTACAGAGGTAAAATACATGTACTATAAATAATAACTGTTTATGAAAGATTATAAGTGTGATGAAATGTCACAAGAAGTTGATCAAGATGTGACATCATGTTAGAAGATCGGTAAAATATGGGTTTACAAATACTGTGAATATTGTATGTGATTCATATGGAATTAAAGTGTGTTAATAAGTTTAATTCGCTGATTTTTATTTCCTCAATATTTTTTACTAAAGATAAGCAGCCATGCAAAAATCACAGTCAGTCTTTCCTCTGTCATTCTTGACAATGTCATGGAATGCAAATATCAGTAATAAATGTTATTCAGTGAAAATTGCATTATGAATAGCAACAGCTCTGCAGTGTTGTTGTCATTGATGCATTAAAGTGCATCATGGAATATGCCAGCATAACAATTGTTATTCATAATACCATATTCACTGAATAGCATTATTTCTTAAATAAATTAACACTCATAACAGTGACTTGCCTTTTATGACCTTGTCAAGGTTTTCTACATCTTCTTTATGAATGACAGGCCTACAGTCAGGCAACTTGGTCATCTCTCTCAGCTCCTTGATGGTAAATGCCACCTGTAAAGGACCTCTTCTGCCCACAATGTACACCTTTTTTACTCGACTTCGAGACAGAGCATCCAATGCATGCTGGGATATATCCGTTTTCTGAAAATTAAAACACATTCTGTCAACATAATTTCATCTAAGAGTTTATTGTTATTAACTCAGTCATGTTATAATTAATTTCATTACTACTCCAAGTTTCAAAGGATAAGAGAACAAGCTAATTCAAGGAATTTGTGTCCTTTACTTAAGGAAAAAAGAAAAGGGTCAAACAACTGAAAGAAATGCAGATGGAGAAAGAAAAGAAAGGTTGACCTTTCAGTTTCTGGTCATAAGGTCAATAGGAGTAACTTTTTATAAGTTAAAGAAATTCCTGACCATAAGTTTCATTGCAAAAGCTAACAAAGAACTATAGTTACTATCAGAAACTATGTATGCAATAAATGAATTTCTGACCTTTGTCTCTGACCCTTTTACTTTAAAATCAGGGGTTTTTTTTAAAGTTATATTGACTAACTAAAATATCCATTGCAAAATCTCAAAGAGAACTAAAGTTATCACTAGAAAACCATTTTATGGAAGATATGAATTTTATGATAGATATGACAGTGAGTGTCTTCTTTAAATCAATGGGAGTTATGACAAAAAATTTCAGTTATCAGCGGAAAACCATTTTTTATACAATATATGAATTTCAGACATTGACCTTTGACCTTCTGACCTCAAAATCAATAGGGGTCTTTTTAAGGCCATAGGGAGTTGTGATATAAAATTTCATTGTAAAAGCTGGAAGGCTTTTTGAAATTTTGACCTTTTAGACCTTTTGACCTCAAAATCAATAGGGGTCTTCTTTAGGTCATAGGGAGTTATGACCTCAAAAGCTTTTTGATATTTTGTCAAGAAACGAAAGTGTTTCACACAGACAGAATAATAGAATAACAGACAGCTAGACAGCCCCAAATTAATATCCTCCACTTTCAGTGAAAGCGGGGGACAAAAAAATAGAGGAAGTACACTACAAATTTACTGGGTACCTGATGACAGAGGTAAGAAATACCTGTAATATGCTAATTGGTGTTAGCAGAATCCGGGCCACATCAAGAGCCACATTTCCCTGACCTAGGATAACCACATTCTCCACATCTAAATCTACAGGCAGCTGTAAAAAGTAAAGAAACAAATATGGTGGACGTGAATTTGTGGGTCTCTTCCCTCCTTAAAAAAAAATTAAACCCTCACGAAAATTGGTAATTTCACAGTATTTAGATACATACATCTTTGTCTTGTGGAAGTCCATTGAACCAACCAACAAAAGATCTGGCTGAGATCACATTGGGACTATCCTGTAAAAAAAAAACAATGTCAAAAACATTATATTATAGAATATTTGTGACATCTATGCAACATACTCACAGATTTAAAAACAAAAACAAGAGGCTCATAGCCTACAATGCTCACACAATTACTTCCTTATTCTTGATAAATAATTAGATAAATGAAACCTTTTAATGTATCTATAAAATTAAAAGTCCATGATTTAAACATTATTAATTAACAGTGTATTGTCCAAGTTTTGAGATCAAGTTCACAACTGAAGTCTTGTTCTGATATACATTTTACGGAATTCAGAAGGGTACAGCCACGGCGGGGAGGGGCAAAAGTCCCCCACTGTATACTTTACTTTAGGTAAGTCTGATATAGTAGAAAATATTTATAATTGACCAAACAGTATTTAACTGATATATACATGGCAATGTAATCTTTAATCTGCACATGAACAATTTTTGCAAAGGAGGTTAAAGTTCAAGATCAAGTGGACTGTCATTTGGAATTTTTTTTAAATGTGTATATTATGACAAACAGTGCACATGCTAAATAGCAAAGACTTACCTTTTATATGTCAAAAATAAGCTGTATATTGGCACTATAATCTATTTTGAAAAGTAAGTCAAATGTCAAGTTCTAAGGTCACCAGACAGGTAACCCTGGTATTTTACAAAAGCCATACTAGTACCAAGCTATATATGTGCAAAATATATATATATTTAACAAAAGCCATAGTACCAAGCTATACATGTGCAAAATATTAATCTATATCTCTTATAGTTTTTAAGATATAAGGTGTGACAGATGGACATACAGACAGACGCCAGCTAAAGCGATCCTAAGTGTCACTCTGATCTGCAGGTGACACAATGATGAGTGTCTGTAAATTATTTTCTCTTGGTCCTTACCTCTCCCTTTATTGCAAGTGTTCTGTCATCATCAGCACCATAAGCCTGCAAAACACAAAGTCTTTACCATTATCATAAACAATCATTTAATCATCTACAAATAATCACATAATCTTATATGTAGTCCTTTTTCACCAAATAAGTATAATGGCTGCTAAATTAACACATCAAAGACATCACCAACATATCAGATATGCACAATACCCTATCAATAATGTACAAGGGTTGTTGGGAAAGTTTGTGGATTATGCCAATCTTCGATGTATATACTATTTTCAAGAAATTTAAAATCAGCACATTATCATATGTAAAAATATTTATTTTGTTCAAAATAAAGTTTCATTCCATGTGATTTAATAAAATTCATGTTATTTAATTTTAAAATAACACGTTTTGTAACCACTGAGCAAACTGAACAATGCTGTAACGTCAAAAACATACCGACATGAGGTTCTCAAAAATACTATCCCTATATATTTCACAGAGTATTGCCCAATACCAGTGCACTCATTAAAAACATTTCTCTATCATTTGAAATCTATTTTGCTAACAATTGTTCCAGTAGCATCATTTTGTTTGCCAATGCTATATTTTTTTCACTGCAAAAGTATGCTTTCACAAGATCAGCATCTGTGAAGCTCCAAACTCTTAGCATGATGTTATTAACTTTTCAATGTTTTTGGTAAGATTTTTACAGATAATCTGTTTTCTCACAGATCACCATCGTCTAAGCAGAGTAGTCTATCATTCAAATACCGCTTGTACTATGTAACACACATGCATGGCTCACTTTTGACATATTTCCTACTTCCTCAGGCATTTTCAGAGGTGTTTTTTTTTAGTTTTCCAGAGTACAATACAAAACTGTATGGTTAACTGCTACTCCGTAACGTTCTACGATGTCATCTTTTTTGCCTTTTTCAGTAAGGACCACCTATCTTCTGGAAACTGGTTTCTTTTCAACGAAGCAAAATATTAAGTCATAATTTGGAATCAGAAACGAGGAAACAATTCCTAATTTGAACATGTAGAATTTTTCCGTTTTTGTGTCATTTTACAGAAGATATGATTTCAGACATTATTTAGTGTCTTGATTGTAAATTACAAAATTTTGACCTGCTCCGTGATCCGATTTTCGCAATTTTAAACTCTAAATAAGTTTGAAATAAACCACGATATTTTAAAAACTTTTAATACACATCATTTGAATTTACTGTTGAAATATTTCTTCCAAATTTGGATATAACTTGACGTTAAGTAAAAAAGTTATGACGGTAGTCCACGAACTTTCCGAACAACCCTCGTTATAAACATAATACATGTAGTACAAACGCTTTTCCACATCACACCATATCGACCAGTATTAGACCACTGGCCTTCTGCCCTCTTGGTGATACTGGTGTCTCAGACTGATAAAGGGTGTGATATGGAAAAGAGTATAAAGTTAAGTTACTGATTTACCAGGACTACAGCTATGTAGACAAAAAATAAAACAACAGGACTACAATTGTGTAGACACAAATAAAGTAACAGATTTACCAGGACTACAGCTGGTAGACACAAATAAAGTAACAGATTTACCAGGACTACAGCTGTGTAAGCCTTCTGCAGGTCTTCTATTGAGATATCTTTACCAACTTCCACATTTCCTATAAATGTACATCTCTGATTTCTGGCAGTTGTGGTAAATGTGTGGATAACATTCTACAAAAGATTGGTCTATGTATGAATTAGGAATGGTAAGCACAAGACCCCTAATTTAGTCTTTCCTGTCCATCATTTTCTTTTTTCCCAGGATTGAATACTTAAATTAAGAATTCTAAAAATTACTTAAAAAAAGAAAAAATAGTTTAAATCAATTTAACACAGCTGTAAAAAGATTGTAAACCTTGACTTCTGGGTGATCAGGAGCTACCCCAAATCTCACAAGTCCAAACGGAACTGGCAATTTTTCCAATATGTCCACCCTTGCTGCTGGATGTCCCTGAAATTGTATCAATGTTAATAACCTGCATCAGTTTATAATAGTGAATGTACATATAATGTAGTGAGGACAGGGGTTGAAATGTAATCATTTTTAAAGACTCAGGCTAACTTATTTAAATGCAGCAACAGTCTGTCAGACAAGAAGACCAGGAAAAATTTTTTGTCAGTTTACTTTTGTTTTTTATGTAGACTGGTTTCTTCTGACTGAGAACTAGTTTTAAAAGCGACATCATTAAAAAGAAGCAACGAGGAACTGATTTTAATCAGCGACATGTCGTTAAAAAGAAGCAATGAGGATCTGATTTTAATCACCAAAGTGTTTAAAACTTGTGTTTTGTTTTCATTTTGCGTAAAAAAAAATGTTGGGCTAGTTAGTTTGAGGTTTGGGCTAGTAATTTTTTACTGATCAGTAGCCTCTGGACTAGTGAGTTTTCTAGGAAAATTTCAACCCCTGCAGGACAGATCCAATCAATAATGAGGGAGAGGAGGAGGGAGTCCTTACGTAACTCCATATCTCTTCCTCTGGAATTTTCAATACCAGTATCCTTAATCAAAATACAAACTTCAGTATATCAAAGTTAACACCGATTTGTTTAATACCAGTTATACATGTATATCAAAGTAAGTCAGATACCTCTACCCCAAAATTCCCCTCATGTTCAAGATTAGAAGGTTTAATGAGGTTAATTAAAAAGTGTGGGTATTACCCCCAATGATAATTTTATTACATGAATAATTGATACTGATACATGTATTCTCCTTCCTCTGTCCCTGTTTTTATATCTTTGTAATGGTTTGGGCCATAGATATGGGCCTGGGTAGTTCAGTTGGTATAGCACCTGACTAGAGATGCAGGGATCCCAGGTTCGGATCACAGTCCAGCCATACATTTCTTTCTTTCCACTGTTACAGCCTGTTAGCTTTGGAACTGACCCAACACTGTTTAAGCTGACCCAACACTGTTTAAGCTGACCCAACACTGTTTAGCTTTTAAAGTATATGGAACCCTGGGAGGGGGAGTGGGATATCAAGAAACTTTTCCAGAAAAAAATGTTCAGATGCATTAATTGTATAGTACTTTTGGAAATATTATACCTTTAGAATTTGCTGCGCTGTATAAAATCCTGCAGGACCACTCCCAACAATGCATACATGAGGGACATCTTGTGATGATGTTGAGGCGTAACGAAAAAAAGATTTTCCTAGGAGTTGTCTCAGATGACGTGAACAAATTCTTGGTAGAATATACATGGTAAATCAGAGGAAACCTTAAAACAATAAATAGACTTCATAACAATTGACTTCATTTTGATATCACTAGACAGGTGATTAACGTTAAGTATATACTTGGATGTACCTCCAGAAATATTAGCTCTCTTTGCTTTTCATTAATAAAATAAATAAAAATTAATCAAAATTAATATAAATCAAATACAGTCAAACCTCGTTTAATCTCGAACTTGAGGGGACCAAGAAAATACTTCGAAATAACATAGGATTCGAGATATCCAGGGTAAAATACTTAAGGAATAAGTAGTAAGGACTTCAAAATTACTTTGACATATCCATGGTATTCAAGATATCTGTGTTCGAGTTACCAATCGAAGTTCAACTGTAATCTATATTTGCATATTAATCAATTTACAAGAAATTTTTTTTTTATGGAAACATAAAAAAACGGTCCATCGCAAAGGTGTTTTGTGTCACAAAAATACATGTACCATACACTAACATATACAGTATGATGATCGAGTATAGATAAGATAAGATAAGATTTATTGATCCCAATTTGGGGCCCCTCAGGGCATACAAGTAAAGAATTATATACACAAGAAGAAATTCAAAATTGATAGTAGCAACATGTCAATATTAAGAGAAAAGAAAACAAACTAACTAAAGAAGATGATGATGATTATAGCAGATGGGGATTACCAATAATAAATGTTTTTTAAAAAATATATATATAATTAGCAAACGTACAAAGATTTGTAACATGTATATTTGTACTAGAGTATTAATAATTTAATATTATTACTCTTTTGCATTTATTTGGTTCTTTTTAACATTATATAATTCACTATTTCTTATTTTAAAAATATTGATTAGAAAATTACCCAGCTTGATAAGCAATATATCATTCTCATTAGACGTAATCCACAAAAAATTTTCTTTATTTGTTAAACAATAAAATTTTTTATTATTTTTAGCAATATTCTCAAAAAATTCATGTCCATCATGTTTATATAATGGACATTCAATCAGTGAGTGAATCTCATCTTCCACACAAGTCATGTCGCACATTCTACAAATCCTTTCATTTCTTGCAAGGGTGGTTTGCTGTCCTTCTGTGTATCTCATAAGCATGCATCATCATTGCTAGTTTCAAAATAACCCTTGAATTGTATGACAGTACTTTTTGTACTGTGTGTTGGCACAAAATATATCAATTCATAAAAAGCAAGAACATTCTCACATTAAAAAAAGCAAGTACTAACATGGGATAAAGGCTTTATAGCTGACAGTATATGAGGCTGCAGAAATAATTAAGGTCGGGCTTGGTAGTCACAAGCGATGTGCACCCAAGATGCTCGCTAACTTATATATCTTGTCAATGCACGATAAATAACAATGCTGAATGTAATTTTTGCTCGATGTATTCTAATGACTAATTACTGTCAACTCTGCTTACCCAAAATTACATCACATGCAACATTCAGCATGTTTCAGGGTCAAAGGTCATGCGTAGTAATTTGTATCTGGAGCCCATCAAGCTCCGATTTTGAAAATAAATAATTCCTTTGAAATTTTGGTTTAGCATGTATTTCAATATTTGTATTTATGTATAAGAGGTAATTTTCCAAGTTATCGGAAAATTTTCTCAGAACTATTTTTACTATTGCGAATGACGATGAGAAGCGCTGTAAAAGCCGGAAGCGTATTCATTGGGCGAGGAGGCTAACCATTTGAAAAGGATCAATTCAGGGTATATGCACATTTATGATTTTATCACTTTTATATGTTTTCATAATTGTATACATATATCTTGATAATCTTTTATTCTCCTATTTCAAGGAACAGAAATGACTGATTTTTTTTAGTGATTTCAACAGAGGAAGATGGGCAGGTGTAGACATCTGTCCATTGCTTCCTGTTTATGATATTGTATCACACACCCTTACCTATCCGTGTACCCTAGTTTACTCCTTTTGTATATTTTCTTTATGCAACACCAAATAAGAATTGGTATTCTCTTTGTTACATTGCATTGACTAACAGAGAAGTTCCATATAATGGGGTTTAGTGTTCATAATGATAATTATTCAGAGTTAAATATATTTAATTATATCTTTTTATATATTATATCTTTATATTTTATATATTTATATATTTAAATATATATTTATAGCGAGCGGTGCGAAGCTCTAACGACAACGCCTGGGCGAAGAGAAAATTCGGACTTACACATTGATCCAAACAAATTTTTTTCCGCAGTAACTTTTGGACCCACAATGCATCGCTTGTTTTAAAGCTACGTTCTCGTGAGAATAACAACAACAGTTTAATAAAAAATAAACTCGCCTTAATTTAATGGAAATGTATATTTTACAGATAAATAGTAAATAAAACGTTCTTCATTAAAGTCAATAATGTTCCGGCTTCGGTTTGGTAATGCAACTTAAGTATGACGTCATGTGACGTCAGAGTCTAAACGTGAAATGTCAAGTGCAGTTTGACGATCGAGCCCGATCTAAATAAAACCTGAATAAATATCTGCGCTTGCCCTAACGGTCGCACCGTCAACATATTAAATATATATTATATCGTCAACTTCCCTTACTTATGCACCAATATACCCTTATCACCTGCATATGGGGAGTATATCTCTCAGTTGATTCGATGCGCAAGAGCATGCTCTACATATGAACAATTTCTAAAACAAGGTAGGTTATTGACAAACAAGTTGATGAAACAAGAATATCAACACTCTCATTTGATGTCATCATTTCATAAGTTCTATGGTCGATACAATGACCTTGTTAGCAAATACAATCTATCATCAACTCATATGCCGACTGACATTTTTCATACTAATTGTTAGGCCATTATTTACACACTGAATTGTAGCATACATGCCAACTTTCCCGATTTTTTCGGGAGTCTACCGATTTTTAACCCTACCTACCGCTTGTCTACCGATCTATTTTTTTAATCCCATTTCTACCGCTTTTTAGGAATTCCGGATTTTTTACCGATCTGCTTTGAATAATACCGCATTTCCGTGTGAAAAAAGATGGCAGTTCGAATGTTTATCGGTAGATATATGTTTATTGCCGCTGATAACAGGTAATCAACAAGGTGTCAACTGTGCAACCAGTCATTACTGTGGTTTTAATTGCTCCCGATTCTCATTAACAGTGTATATTAACCTAGACAATCATGCCAGATGTGGAAATTTTAGAAATACACACGACAGGATACAAACTTATGACGAGATCACACTTTACAGCAAAATTTGACAATATACGTATAAGCTGTTAATAAAAGGTTTTCAAGTTTAGGAAATACAGCATTTCTCACTATAATTACGAACTACGTCATTGATCATGGAAAAGACACTGCCAAAATCCAACTTGAAAAGATGCGTCTGCAACATAGGTACTATGGTCTGCAAGTACAAACCGTTAGTTTTTTAAAGCAGAATTCCAGGAGTGGTTCACAAAAAGTTAGAAAGGAGAAGACGTACCATGCCTTTTACAGACTTTGTATGAAAACATTAAAAGTGACTTCTTCTTAGTATTCCCTTTGATTTAAAAAAATACAAATAAATTGTCTGTGACTTAGTAGCTTTATAAAATGTGTAATTTACCAACAGACAAAAACAGTAACTGCATGAACTCTTTTAGTAACTTGCATAATAGCTTATTTGTAATTAAGTTTAACATCCTTATCCATGTAATATCTGCATTGCTTATGGGGGGGGGATGTTTATCTTTATATTAACATATTAAATAATTTTGATTAAAATTTTCTTTTTTAAATTTCAAATAATATTGTGTTTTTGTTGAAGTTGATAGAGAAGAAAACACTATGAAGTAGTGATAATATATGATACAAGGTATTAGACTGATATTTAAAAAACAAACCAACAAATACTTATTTTCACGACAAAATGCCGCGGATTTAGAACTTTGAAAAATGTCGTTACGCGCAATCTCCCCCAAGGAAATTTTCAAAAGTTGGCATGTATGTTGTAGACGGATTTTTCCATTATTTCCAAATCATGACAAGGTGCGTCCAGCGGGTGTGACCAGTCGGCAGGGGATGCTCACTCCTCCATGGCACCTCATCCCACCTCTGAGTTTTTGGAGGTCCATGTTTGCTCTGCTCCCGATTTGTATGGTTTTAAAGGCCTTTGAGCTAGAATACTGTTCGTTATCTCCATATTTCATCTATGATGGTTTGGGCTGTGGATATGCGGCAGGGTAGATAGAACGTTCTATCGTTAAAATGATATTGTCCTACGGACCCGGTTTAACGATAGAATTCATTCCGTGTATTGGCAATGTAGCAAAATAAACACAGGCGATAACTCGTACTCTGTGCATCTTCTATAAACAATCTAGAGAGTTCCGAATGTCAATATGGCGTTAAATTTGAAGTGAGGAAAAAACGTTGAGAAATTGAGTTGATTTTTCGTATTTATATGGATTATTTTTTAGGTTAAAAGACATATACCATCTCAAAAAGGTTTGTTATGATTAATTTGGTAGTTGTTTTCAGTGCAACTCCTTTTGAATTCTTCAAAATCATTTCGGAGTGGATCCACTCCGATTTGCTACATTGCAAGTATATGGGACGTATTCTAACTGTGGTGAGGGCTTGTCCCGAGACACAGTTAGATTATTCTAACTAGCGGCAGGGTAGCCCAGTACAGCACCTGACTAGTGATGATGGGGTCCTGGGTTTGATTCCCTATCCAGCCATATATTTTCTCCTTTCCTGTTACATAATTTGGTGCTTTTCAACACCCCTGGACTTGCAGGTGAAAGTCCTGCCAGTGGCAAAAATAACTAACTTGGGCTGTGTCTTTGAGGGCAAAGACAATTTATGGAGGGAAGAATGTGATGGTTTAGGCCGTGGATATGGGCCTGGATAGCTCCATTCCTAGATCACTTGACTAATGATACAGGGGTTCCCAAGTTCAATTCCTGGGCCAGCCTGCCATACATTTTCTCCTTTCCTGATACATATCCAACAAAATAAAAAGTTATATTAATTTATTAAATTCTGAGCTGAAAAGATCGATTGAAAATGAATAGGAATATGAAAGACACTGACCTTTACAGGGATTAATCTAGGGCATATTTACTGCCGATATTCGGTATTTTTCCCCAAGAAAAAATTTCCCCTGAATATCCCATTTTCCACTTTTGATGAGTAGAACATTTTCCCTTACAATAATAAAAACCTCAAATAATTTTTGTTTTCCTACATAAAAACTGGAAATTTAAAGTAATTTTTTTCAGATGTGAAAATGGTTTTATTTTGCTATTTATGCACTCTAAATGGTCATTAAATGCTGAAATTCAATTCAAAATCCCCCCCCCCCCCCCCCCAGCAGGGCTCTCCCTGCACCCGCTGAGGTCCGGAGTGGCCCCCAGACCCAGTGTTCAAAATTCAGAATTATTTTCTATGGGTCCAAAGGACCCAGAGATAAAGGCGCTACACGAGTCCTTCCAGGACAATGTAGGCTCAAAAAAATACCATCAAATATTTTGTAAAAATAAAACTTTATTGATGATCTCGGTAAGTTTATCGGTTCATGTAAAATATGTCAATTTTACCATGTCAACAAAGGGTATCTACAACTCGCAAGTACACTATATTAACAATATGAAACAGTAAAACATTGAAAGTCACACAGTCTGTAATACCTAACGAGTTTAAAATGTGTTAACTGTTTATATTACTGTAAACATACTTTTTTCCACGGGCTCAAACTTCCGTGGAATTACAATTTCTGTTCTTAAAATCCGCGGGTAGAAAATTACGCAGTTTTTTTTTAGATTGCCACAATGTGTTAATAAAATGTGCTTAAAGTACACTGGGACAAATTTCTGATGAAAGTTTGTAACCATGTACATTACATATGACGTAAATTCATAACATGCGAAAAAATTAAATCTTCAGTATTTAATCAAAAAGCACATGAAAAGAAGAATTGATATGATCTAATAAAAATAACTAGTTTTACCCATCTCAAATCTAATTTCTTTTAAAGACGCTCATTGGTCAATTTGTTTAATATATCCAATCAAAATGCAGGAAAGATATAAAAGTTCATGTAAATGCATAAAACAACATATGTTAACTCAACTTCTTGGGTCTTTCGACAAGCAGTTAAAAAAATGTGTTTTTCCGAACTTGTCAGAAAGATCTGAGAAGATGCAATCGACGTTATCATTTCCCAGCAAATCATCGTCGCCCCAAAATTATTTCAAGGACCCATTTATTCATAGCGTTCATGAGTCCTTCTGTTTGTACATCAGCGCAAGAACGATGGGCCAACGCTAATTTCGAACACTGCCCAGACCTCCGGCTGATTTTCCCAATTTCTCCAGAAAGGGTAGTTAACTGTTTCCACCAAAACCTGGATTAATCCTTACTTTAAATTGCTCATAATCTGCAACTAAACATCCTGTGCAGTTTTATATAATCATGATAATGGTACAACATAA